CTGACATCAACTGCATCTTTTTTTTTTTTTTAACAATAGGTCCAGCCAGGCCACATCCTTTGCCCCTGCATTGCCGGCGCTAGCACAGCCCCGCGGCCCTGAACCGCCCCTGCACTCTGCTTGGCCTCTCACCACCGAGCTGACCTGATTCAAGCCTTTATGAAGCTCTTCCAGAGCCAGGGCAGTGGTCTCCTTACTGCCTGCCCCCCACCCCGGACCCAACCGAGCTGCTTCCCCATGACGCGCAAATCCGATTGCCTCCCTCCGCAGCCCACAACACACGCAGACAAAACCTCAGCTATTTTGCTTACACATGGGCCCATGGAGTCCAGGATGCTGTCCTTGTCAGAGATCCCTGAAGACACTGTCAGCGCTGCCCCTCCCCCACCCGACCTAGCACCAGCCACCTTGAACTCCTGGCCCAGTGCTGCTGGCTTGTGTCTTTATGTGCTTCAGACGCATGAGGCGGCACGGTCGGGAAGGTTAGGGTATTTTTCCGGACACTTTCATGCAGGTTGAAGTGCTCCTTGTCCTGGGCACGCACCTTGCGCTCCCAACGCTAGGCACCCGCCTGCGTTCCTACTGTCTGCACGTGTCTACGCTGAGCGCTCCCCCGCGTGGCGCAGACCTTCCCACGTGTAGTAGGCACTCACTTTGTTGAAATAAACCAATGCGTTTCACACAAATTCCATGTTATTTCTCACTATTGGATGCAGAGCCCTGAGAGGGGCAGGCCACAGAAATGAAAGGCTGGGTAGTCAACAGTGGCGCACAACACAAACGCGGATACAAAGTTACCAGCACGCGTGGAGAAGGAAAGTGCTTCACCCTGAGACAGATGCCACCGTGAGAACAGCAGCGCCAGCCGGGCCCTGGACAACCGACCTAGACAGAGGGAGGCCTGCCGCCGGGGAGCGCTGGCAGGAAGCAGCCTGACAGCCGCTCTGTCTCAGAATGGGGACAGAGATATGGGACGCTGTGTAATCTCGCTCGCCACCCACCCACTTGCATTAAACCTCAAAAGCTCACTCAGAACTTCAGACTGGCCGAGTCCTCTGATTCACGGAAGCCCACTGTTTTGAACTTGGTTTCTTCAGGCTCAGTGACTTGGGGCAGAAAGGATGAGTTGAGCTCAAGCTGTCCCCCTAGCAGTGGGTCCCAGAGGAAGCCCGCGAGTGGCAATGCAGGGAGCACCGGCGAGGCGAACCACTTCCTCCAGCCCGAGTGGAGACCCTAAAGGTACTTGGAGGCAAAGTCACGCTCAGGCAGACTCCCACCTGTGCCAGCTCTGGGTGCATGGAGGTGGGTGGAGGGGCTCTGTGTCTGGAGGCGGGGGGCAGGGTCACCACCCTGCAGGAAACAGGCCACTGGAGGTCCTGAGCGGCCAGAGGGTAGACACCCTAGGAAGCGCATCACCTGTGGAGCTGATGACATCAGGGCGGATACAGACCTGCTTTGGCCAAAAGAACGGCCCAGACAGCATTCCCAGGGCACTGGACACACCGTGTGGGAAAAACACTGATGTTTTTTTCCATGCATTTCAAAAATAGGAAAATGCAGTGGGGGAAATTTTAATACTGATATGGCAGATAGAGTTCCCGCAGCACCTTCTTAAAACAACACTCCCTGCAAAGGAGGCCCTGGCCTGGAACTCCCCTTTTCATGGGCTCATCAAATATTGACGTACTGACCTTCCAAGATTCACCTTTATTGTTTCAGTTTTCCTGGTGTGAAAATTTCTGGTAGATAACTGAAAAAAGTAAGCTCCTATTTCCTTATCAACACAGGGAATGCGCTCATGCTACAGACTTGCCATTTACCGGGGTGAGGGGTGTTGGGCAGGGACTGGTGGGAAGGAAATAGTGGGGGAGGCATTTGAAATATTTATTATTGACAAAATGAACCAAAAGGCCACGATCTATGTGTTTGTGGTTCTCCAAACAAAGAGTTAACACGCCCCCAGCTTTTTCTCCAGGGTGGGATGGGAGGCAGGGAGGCAGACCGTGGAGGTACTGGGCACCCACCAATCCTATAGCCCAGGCCGAGCTCCGCCCCTGGGGATTTCCTCAACAGGGTCTCCCCACAGGCTTTCCAGGGCCCTTGACGCCTGTCTGTGTCTGATTAGTCTCCTTATCTCCTCAGTTAGGGCCTTACAAGAGTTATCTCAAGAACTATAAATGTTTCACGCCCTGTCTGTTGGTGAGGGTTCCTGAAGCAAGTGCTTTGTGCTATCTGGAAAGTCATAAAAATAGTGACTTTTTTGGGGGGGGACGGGGCAAGATTCCTTTAAGCTTAAAGCACTCCTGCCATCCTCTCGACTTGGAAATTTTCTTCCTCAGCTGCCTCTTGAAATCATAGTTTCTCTTGATTTTCTACCCATTCTTCGAAGCCTATTTCAGAAACCCCTCCCTCTGGAAGCCCTCCCTGATTTCTCCAGCTACCCTTACTCCCACGGGGTCTCCACCACACTCCCCGTGTCTCTTGTCACAGCTGCTCTGTTATTGTTAGTCTCCCCCATCTCGTCCTCTCCCTGCACTGTGTGACCTGTGAAGACACAGCTCTGTCTCCATCTTGTTTCTCACTTACACAGTGTGTCGCATCCCAGCAATGTCTATTGGCCTGGGTGTGAATGAATGTGCTCTCAGGTCTTGGATAACTGGGAATTAACACAGTTGTGCATAACCAGTTACCTTAATGAAAGTGTGCTTCTATATTTTTTTTACTTGGAATAAACAGCAGAACTATCAACATAAAAACATACTATTATTATTATTTTTAATATGCAGGCAAACACTCTTCTCGTGTGTAAAAACAAATGCCCTCCCAAAGACAGGCAGGCAGAGAATAACCACAGAAATGTTTTCAAAGGCCAAACTCCCGGCCTTCCAGGTAAGTTTAAACCTATTGAATTAATGTGAATGAAACCAAGTATCATACTTGCAGATAAAGCACTTTCTAGAAGATGTTTTGCCAACTATTTTACCCATACCCCACCCCCAACAATGCAAAGCACTGGGCCAAGCCTTGCCCAATGTGTGAGAACTACCGGGACGGATTGCCAGAGCAATTCCTTTTTTAAAAACTAGAAGGCTGGCCAGAGCAGCAGCAGGTGAACACACAGGGTGCTTGTAACCACTGTGTCTTTGGGGGATACTACTGCATTTCCGTGTTCACCGTTAGTGCATGTCCACGGGGGAGACTGGGCATACAAAATACCATTTGATTAGAATGCCAATATCATTGGACTGTTTTCTGTTTAGGCTTGATTTTAAAATGCATGTAATGCAAGTGGCCAAAAGGAAAAAGGGTGGGGGTGGGGGTGGAGCGGGGAACAGCCCTTGTTGAAAAGTCTTTCTGAAAAACAAATTTGTTTTGATACCATTTGCTGCTGTTCCTATTAGAGCCTACTGCGTTGTATGCATGTGTGGGTAGTTTTGTAATAGAGGGTAAGGTGCTTTGTACATCTGGGTAGCTGGCAAGTTTGTAGCCAGGGGCTCGCTGTTCATGGGATTCCCGATCCCTTAGTTCAAGGAAGGGAGCGCGCTGCCCAACCTGTTGCACCCCGCGTTAAGCCGGCTGTCTTTCCCCCCAGCCATTCGGAGGAACCCGGACCGGGAGGGAGGGCCGAGGGAAGACCTCTGCGCGCATTTTCTGCTCCAGCCTCGAGCACACGCTTGTTATTTTTGTCACGGCTGGAAGCCCAGGTTGGCTCTCGCCCTCCCCTCGCCCGCGCCCAGCTGGCTCCGCAAACGCCTCCCCGAATCTGCGCGCGGGTCCGAGCCACTCTGCACCGGGGGATCACCCAGCCTCAGCCGATTTGACCCGGGAAGCTGCCGAAGCCAAGAACACCGCCACCTCTAGCCCTTCCTTCCGAGGAACGCCCGAGAGGACAGTTTTGGTAGCATTCCTGGCGCAGAGTGTGCCGCCCGAGAGCGCCCCTCCAGGAGGACAGAAAACCACTAACTGGTTTTATTTATTTGCAGCTGCACCGAGTGATCCCACGGAGGCCATTCCTCCCAGGGGGGCGGGCAGCGACGAGCATTTGAGGAGACGCATATTTGGGGGCACCCTGAAGCCCTTCACCAGCCACGGGGTGCCGGGTGGGAGCAGGGGCAGGGCCTGGCACCGACGACGCCAACGATCGCCCCGCGGTGCCTGCGGGTCGCAGCCCCGCCCGACTGAGCTCCAGGGAGGCAGTGCTGCCTCTGCCGCCCCCCGCCCCCGGCCCCGCACTGGCTTGAAGCCCCGTGTGCACCTTGGTCGCTCCCACTGCAAACAGTAGTTTGTCCTAACATCACCGAGGGGGTCTGAGAACAAGTGATCCTACGGTATTCGGGGCCAGAACCTGAAAAGGTGGACCTTCAACAGCTTGTGGGGGACGTCGGAAAGGCCAAGGGAGACAGGAAAAAGGCGAGAGAGGGCCAGCTTTTCTGCAGAAAACTGCCCAATTCGGTTTCACGGCACGCACGGCGAGCGTTGCTCTAGCCTTCAGACGACCAGGGAAACTGAGGGTGGGAGGCAGAGCGACGCCCAGGCAGCGGGACCGACCTGCAGTGCCCGGGGGGCTCCAAGCGGCCCGAGAACCCGTATTCAGGAGTGGTTCCCGAATGTGGGCCACTGCCTGCGCCTCGGCTTCTTCCTCGCGCATTCTGCTGGCCGGGGAAAGGGCTGTGTCCACCGCAGAGACTGCGCGTGGGACCTTCGGTGCTCCCGAAATGTTGGGGGAATGAGTGACGTGAACGCCTGACATTAAGTGGGCTTTTCGAAGCAAGCGCCCGTGTCCGTGCTGGGACCTCGCAGCCTCCCGATAGCCCACCCACTCGCCCTTTCCCTCCCGCCACCGTCCAACCCGCGTAACCTCCTCCCCAGTTTTCCGCCGTTTCTGTCCCCAAATCCTCCGCTCTTGCTTCTCCGTCCACTCGTCGGGACGCCTCGCAGCCTCCGCGCCCCCTTGCCTCCCCAGCTCCGGAGAAGGCGCGGGGCGCGCGCGGCCTCCTTACCTGCAGCGGGCCGAGGAGCGCGCAGAGCGCGAGCAGCGAGGGCAGCGGGCGGCGCCGCCGGGCGCGCGGGGCCATGGCGCGGACGGGCGGGCTGGGCGCCGCGCTCTGCGGCCTCTGCCGCCGGGACGGCGCCGCGGGAGGCCTGGGCCCTCGGAGCGGCCGGCCCCGCCCCGCCGCCGCGCCCTGCCCCGCCCCGCCCCGCCCCGCCCCGCCCGGGCACCTGCCCCCGCCCGCCCTCGCGGCGCCCCCTTCTGGCAGGGCCGGGCCGCGCCCGCCAGGTGGTGCCCGGGCGCGCGGTGTGGAGGGGCGGCTCCCTCGGCGTCTGCTGCCCGGGTGCAAGGAGGGACCCGGGCACCCGGAGGTGAGGGCTGCGGGACGATTTTGGACCGCCGCCGCCGCCGGGAGCGCGGGGCTTAGCTTTCTTCCCTTGGCTCTTCAAGTTGCACGCCGCCAGGTTTGCCTGCGACGTGACCTGGTGTCTCTCAGGTTGGAAGGCAGGGGCCAGCCTGCTGCACCCCAGGCTTCCCGGGTCGGGGAGGCAGCCCGCGGCCTGACCCCCGCCTCGAGCCCCCGCGCTCAGCCCTTCCAGGAGGGATGAACGAGGAGAGGCTCTTCGTGGACTACAGTGAAAGGATCGCCACGATAACCCGTCCAGCACGCTTCACGAGATCCTCCCTCAAAGTCGGCTGGCCTCTTTCTCTCCTCCGGGCGGCCTGCCTGCCCCGTCTCCGCCCCGCGCCCGGATAAGGCGCTCGTCTGGCCTCGGTCTATTTCCTGGTCGAGAACCAGCTCCTGTCTGGGGGCCCAGCGCCTGCCGTGCGGGGCACGTGTAATTCCTTCCTTAGGAGTGCGTCCTCCCTCGTGTCCCAGGTCGATGCTGGACGCACACGCATACACACTCCTTTGTACAGATAACTTTTGGAGTGAAGATACTCGTCTCGTGTCAACAGAATGCACTGACTTCTTGGAGCGCCAGGTCTATTTGCTCGCCTTACCTTTTTGGCCCAGCATGCAGGGTATCTTAGTGAACGGCCCCTGTGCACGCGAGAAGGCGCTGCATCCCACTGCTGTCGGGTGAAGTGGTTTATAAATGTCATTTAGGTCAAATTGGTCGAAATACCCATATTGATGTTCTGTCTTCTGGGAAAACTGAAAATTTTCAACAATTGTATAGGGTTATTTTTCCTCGTCGTTGTTTGTACGCCCCCTGCTTGTTTTTGAAGCTCAGATTAGAGGCATAAACATTTAAGGAATGTGTTTTCTTGATGAATTGACACTTCTGTAATTGTTGCATGTCCTTGATATAGTAAAACTGGGTTCCGAAGTCCACTTTGATGCCAGTTATATAGCCACTGCACCTTTCTTATGAACAGCACACAGAACTTCTCATGATCATTTTGTTGTTTGTGTTAAAGTGATAGCATATAATTGGTCTTGTTTTTTCATTTTATTCAGTTTGACAGGCTCTATCTTTTGGTTGGAGTGTTTAGACCATTTACATTTCATGTGATTATAGATACGGTGAAGTTTAAATCTATCTTGCTATTTGTTTGCTTGTTCCTTTTATGGTCTTTTGGCTTGAGAATTTTTTAGGATTCCATTTTCTCTCCACTGTTATTGTACATATCCCCTCGTTTAATTTTTAGTGCTGGATTATAATACAAGCCTGCACCTATGAATTACTCCAGCCTACCTTCAGATAAAACTCTGCCCCTTCGTGTGTCCTGTAAGAACCTTGGGCACCGCCAACCCTCCCCCACCCGCACCTTGGTGCCATGGTTGTACTACTCGCTGGGCTTTGTGTTACAAGCTCCTTACCGGGCGGCCTGGTGTATGCACTGCCCACTTGCTTTGGTGCTTTTTGGAAAGCAATCCAGTGGCGTTGATGAAAAAATTTCAAGTGCAGATCTCCTCTGACAAATCAATTCCATACCTTGGACTCTAACATATCAATATGTACAGAGGGCAGTATAAGGATATTTAAGTTAGCATTTTTGGAAAACCACAGAAAAATGTTTGTTAATATAGAAGTGGCAGACAGAGTTGTGGTCCATCATAATATAGACTATAATGCAGTTATTAAAGAAGACTAAGTAGTTTGGGAAAGATGTAGTGGGCAAAAGTAGGTTAAATTACAAGCCATTACCTAAAAGATAAATCATAAGTAAGGATATGAAATAATTATAACAATAAGACAAATAATACAAGTAAATAACAACAGAAGAATAAACTGTTCACAGACACCTGTAAACCTACTTTTGTCCAACCCTGTATATTGAGTAAAAGCAGCAAGTAACAGAATAGTATCATCCCATCTTTGGCCATCATAAATAGGAATTTCTGGAAAGACAATAATAGTAACCTCTACTCGCCTCCTCGCAAGTTCATTTAATCCTTACAATGGCCTTGTCAGCTGTACCATTTCCCAGTCCCGTTTTACACAGGACACTGGGGCTCAGAGGTCCATAGTCTGCCCGGGGTCCCTCGGCCGGAAGTGGCAGACCTGGGGCAGACCCTGGCTGCCTGGCGCTCCCGTGTTCATCTTGCCTCACTAAGCACCAAAAATTTTAGTATCAGGCGAGGTGCAGAAGGGAAAGGAGAAACTAATTTTACTTTTGATGTTTCTTAATTTACATCGAGGAAAAAGTACTTTTTCATTTTCAGTGACAGTTGCGTAAGCAGTACACAGAGGGAAAAACTCGAAATGCAGGAAGGAAAGGCACGGTCGCACGTGCAGGTGGAGGACTGTGCGGTGCCCGGGCTACTGCGACCCGGGGTGTGCGGAAGCGGCCGTGCGAGCGCTGCGCCAGGCCGCGCCCTTGCTGACGGGAACTGGACCCTCGCCCTGGCGCCTGGTGAAAAACACCATGGCCTCTTCCTGGCACACTTCCAACATCACCCTCTTCTTTGTTAAAAAAAGATCAGGGGATTTAAAACTTCTGCTTGGAAAGCCCCAGAGGTGAGTGTGCTGGTTTTAGAAGCACTTTTAGAAACAAAATGCCCATGTTAACATATTAAATCCACTTTTTTAAAAAAGCTTAAGTTGAAAAAATTAGTTTTCCTATATGAATGATGAACACACCGTAGCTAAAGGGGCTGTCCACCATTTAGAGAAATTAGTTTAAATGTTACTTATGATTACAGACCCACATTTAAAAGCACATGTATACTTAAATTTGATACGTAATAACTATAAGCTATACTTCAAACAATAGTATATATTAAAGTTAAGGGTTTCCCATTTCATAAGAGTACTCAACTGATAATGAATTTGTACTGGGTTAAAACAAAACATTACACAAACACAGGAATTACAGGTTTATTTAAAACCTCGTTTAAATGAATAGAGTGCACTCACCTTGGAAATCCCCACCACTCCCTTCTTCTGCATGAACTCAAGTCTTCAGAATTAAAAAGGTAAAATAAAAATGTGGCATTCATTTTTGGTTCTAGTGGATGGCCTATATTATATTGCATTTTAACAGTCTTCATTTAAGCATCCAAAATAGAGGCCTGATCTCATTAATGAAATGCTTACGTCAGTAAGCACGAGCATTAATCAGTTTATGTAATTTTTTTTTTCACATGAAGAATAGTTACTGTCACAGGGCACAGAGGTAAAGAGACTACCTAAAAATGTCAAGTTTTTAAGCAAACATAAGACTTTACAAATCTTTCAGTGAAAACTTACTGATAAATAACCATGTTTTTATTACCTACACCTTTTCATGTTTAGCTCTTTCCCCCATCTTGCCTATAAACTTTTTAAACAAAAGTCAAGCATTGATAAGTCAGTGTTCATCCAGAGAGAAATTATGGTTTCAATACTATTCCATAATGACACCCAAAAATAACATGAAAATTTAAGAAAACACTTGAATGGCAGACATGGAAACCTTACTTGCTTTGATAGACAAGAATTTTTTTAGTTCTACAGGTTTAGTATTCAAAAGAACTATATTTCTGAACTGTCGAACAGGTACTGTCCTATGTTGATGGCAGAGCACTACTTCTAGACTGGCCAGGTTTGGATTGGCCTCAATAGCCCAGCTACTGCTGTCAGATTAAGAGAGAAGGATTTCTTAAACATATTTTTATTGAAGCATAATTTACATAACTTGTACAGCTTGATGAATTATCATAGAAACATACATGTAGCCAGCACCCAAATCATGAAGAACATTACCTGCACCCCAAGAGCCCCCTCTTCTAGTCACTACCCTTCATCCTTTTTGATAGATATAATTCTAATACCATTCATTAGTTTTGTTTGGTTTTGGACTTTATATAATGGAGCCTACACTGGAGTATTATTCTGTGGCTTTTTTTCAATATTATGTTGGTGAGAGTCATCCGTGTCATCACCAAATAGGGTTCCATTTTATTAATGTATTACAATTTACTTAACATCTTGCCCTGCATTAGAAGGGTAGAGGGTTGCTTTTCGTTTGTGGATTAAGACTGCTAACATCGAGTTTGAGTTTTCACATCTGTGTGCATTTACCTTTCCGAACGGGGTCCTGCCTTGTTTTGGTGTTAAGGGTTTTTGCTGGGCAAGACTGGAATCCATAGCAAGGGCTTTATTTGGTGGAATTCATGGGTGAAGGGATGTGGGCACTGGGGTTTCTTTGTGGGGTTTTATATTACAAGTTCAATTTGTCTGATATAGAACTACAGAGATTTTATTTTTCACATGTTGGTCTTGGTAGGTTTTTTGTTTTTGTAGTTTTTTTTTTTTTTTAAATAGGAGCATGTCCATTCCATCTAAACTTTCACTCTATTGGTATAAAGTCATTCATCATATCCTATATTTTTAATGTCATCGTGTTTGTAGAGGTTTCTTACTTTTTATTTCTAACATTGGTAATTTTTGACTTCTCTTTTTCTTGATAAGTCTTACTGGGGTTTAATTAAGTTTCTTAGTTCAATTAATTAGAATCAAATTTTCAGCTTTCTTGATCTTTTCTATTATATGTTGAGTTTTCTATTAATTTCTGATCTTTACTGCTGCTTCTGCTTACTTTGCGGTTCTTTACGATCTTCTTGAAATGAAGGTTAGGTGACGGACTGTAAGCCTTTCTTTCTAATCTCTGAGTTTGAACCTGTATGTGTAGCTCCCACTAAGTATGACTTCAGAATCATCTGACAAGTTTTGAATTTGATAAAAATGTTTTCTAATTCTTGTCATTTCTTCTGTAACCTGTGGTTTCTTTTAAAAGCACACACTTCATTTCCAACATTTTATTTTCTGGTTAACTTTTTATTATTTTTGTAATTTCATTGTGGTCAGAGAACATATTCTGTAGGATTTCATTACCCTAATACCAAAGCCAGACAAAGACTTTAAAAGAAAACTAATGATCAATATTTTTCATGAACATAGATGCAAAAATCCTCAACAAAATAATAGCAAATGGAACCCAACATTGTGTAAAGAGAATCACAGACATGACCAAGCGGGATTCATCCTGGGTGTGTGAGGCTGGTTCAGCATTTGAAAGTCAGTTAACGTAATACACTAGTGGACTAAAGAAGGAAAACCCCGGCCGAATCGATAGATGCAGAAGCAGCATTTGACAAAAGCCAGCACCCTTTCAGGATAAAAACTCTCAGTTAACGAGGAATAGAGAGGAACATCCCCCACTTGATAAGGAATCCCTACAAAACCCTTACAGCTAAAATCATACTTGTGAGAAACTTGACCCTTTCCCACGAAGATCAGGGAGATTTTGGTCTGCAGAGAACCAATGCCCAATGGATGCCAAGGGTCTAGCTGAGAACCACCCACGCTCTCAGAGGCTCAGTCTAATGCCAGTATCACAGCCTCTGCCTCATGTACCAGGGGCCCCAGCGTTTTTGGCCTGAGAGCCTACCCTTGAGCTCCTCTGAACATCCCTTAGTGTAACAAACCCTTACCCCTTCCGCACCCGCTGCTGGCTCAGGAAACGCATGGTCTGTCTTCAGGTCCCTCTCCTGCATCCCCGCCTTCGCGCTAGAGGGCCTGCTCTCCAGCTCATACTAATTGAATGCTGGTTACCCCTAACACAGCACTTTCCTTGCTAAGCTCGTAAGTGGAGGATTTTAGTTTTGTTCTCACAAACCTCTGTACCTTAGAGCCCAGAGGTATCTTACTTGCTTTTCACCTCTACTTCCGAAGGAAGTGTCCTTCCAATTCACTGACATGAATATTCTCACCAAAACATATTTTTGACTTTACTGAGAGCCCTCCCTCAGACTCTCCCACTCACTTCGTTATCTTTTCCCTCTTGCCCAGTTTAGATTCTATGGTCCATCACTATAATCATTCCTTTGCTAGTAGCTCTAATGTCTCTCCCTTCTTCTCCTCTTAAGCATCTGGAAAAAACCCCAGCCCTGCTTATACTTCATTCTCCGTATACTTCCCATCTGCTCCCGAACAGCTGATCCTAGTGGGAGGAAAAACAAATAGCTGATCCTAGCAGGAGGAAAAATGAAAAAAAAGATCAGGTTAATTGGGTCTAAATTTGTACGTACTATTCCCAGGTGGGCTTTCAAAATTGCTTGGCAATCCTACAATGCCCTCAATAATTCCCTCTGCCGTTCTTGAAGACGACCTTCTCTACCTTCTTTCTCCTCAAGCCTCCGATACTTTACAGGTGCCGGCCACGTTAATGGCTTTGCTTCATACTCCACTCAGAAATGCACAAGGAATTAAATGGAAACCCCCTAGTCTTCCCACCACTAAACTGACCAGCTTACCTCCAAACATGTCTATTCTCTACTTTCTCCCCTGCCACAAGGGAGTCCACCTCCTCCCCCTGAGCGCTGAATCTCAGCCCCTTGCCTTCTCAAGGAGATCCCTCCCAGTCACCACCTGCAGCGGCCACCGTGTCACCGCCACCGCACTCCGCTGCCTCCTGCTGCAATTTGAGTAGCTCATGCCCGGCACGGTTAGCTACTCACAAGAAAACAAAAGCATGGGGTGCAGCTGTCTGGCTATCCACGCTCCAGCTGTTCAGTGACTTTACAATTTTAATTCCACTTTGAACTTTCATAGTGCTTTCTAAATGCTAGAACACATTCAGGTTTACTATTATGTGGTTTTTATAAAGTCTGGTGAGGAAATAGAGAGCATGTTATTTTTTCCATGCTCTCTGATGGTGAGAAAAAATAATTTGTTAGAAAGGTGATTATTTGAAAAAGCCATATGAAAATAAATTAGACAATGATTTACATTAGGAAAAGTATTCACCTAAGGGTTAGTATTTAATACATGACAGGAAGGCTTATGAACAGGGAAAGCCAAATATTAAAAAATTGTCAAGGAATTATCAGAAATAAAGATAAAGCATCTATGAGATGAAAAAGTCAGTTAGATTTATACTACTTATCAATATGTATTTTATATAGAGAAATACATATTTTCAGCTTCCCTGAAAATCCTAAAAATATCTAAGGTTGTAAGTGCTAACAGTTCAAGAAATGGTTACTTTACCAATAAGATAATAGTTTGTTAATATTTTAAATTTGACTGCTATCAACAAATAACAACCATAAATAACATCACTGACAAAGTATTTAATATCTAAAACATACAGTATGAAATGCCAGTTTATACACATCAAGAAATCTATATAATTATCTAATTGAAATACAATGGATTAGTCTTTGATGGAATAAAAGGAACTAAAATAGTTTAATATAGTCTTCTATATAGATATGCTTTGGACAGTATTTTCCAGATATTATTGAAAACTCTTTGGAAAAAAAAGCAAATAACTTACATTCTTTACCACACTGAACAGAAGCAATTTATATATTATCAAAAGAGCAATGTTCTTTATATTGTGCTAAGTTTACATTAACTGTGGTATATAGGCTGGTTTTATAGTGAAAAGGAATTTTTACTTAATGGTTTTTCTTGGCCCTAGCTGGGTAGCTCAGTTGATTGGTGCGTTGTCCAGTACACCCAAAGGTTGAGGGTTCAATTTCTGGTCAGGGCACATAACCAGACTGGGGTTTGATCCCTGGTTGGGGCAAGTATGGGAGGCAATGGATTGATGTTTCTCTCTCACACTGATGTTTCTCTCTCTCTCTAAATATCAATAAACATATCCTTGGGTGAGGATTAAAAAAAGAAAAGAACCCATGGTTTAGTATAAAAATCAAAATGAAAATAAAAGTGAAGTCTTACTGACATTTAGATATTGTGTATCTCACTAGCTGTTGACTATCAAAATAATTAGCAATTAAACGGATTCACAAATTAATAAAAATGATCACAATAAAAATACATTAGAATCATTTACCTGGTAACGAACATTTACTATAGTTCAAAGCAAATGAGAGTTTAATCACTTTTGTTTAAATCATCTCTGAAAATGTATTAATTTTATAGCAACTTTTTAAAATAAAAGTAAATTAAAATAAGTAATTCATATAGATTATGTTCCTAAAATAACATATTATTACACTTTAATGAATATATGCTTTCTCATTTCCTTTTGCTTGGATATAGATAAAGCATTTCAAAATGAGAGTAAATACACAGCCAAAACCAAAACCAAAACAAGTATGCAAAAACATTTTATTTATAGTAGATCACCATTTTTGACATGAAAGGTAGCCACTTTCAATTCCTCAGGAATGCCTAGAATCCAACAGTTTTCAGAAAGACTAGTTTGTTAACAATTATTGTACTATAAGTAAAAGAAATAATTTCAGAATGACCTTTTTCAAATGGCTTTGCTATGTCAACTTATTTTATCAGCTTGAATGTGTGAGAAGGTAGCTTTCTCAGGAAGAGACTGTCATCCAGCCATGTTCCAAGTGTAGGAAACGAGTTTATACAACAAACATAAGAATCACCTATGTGCATCGACTGTGCTCAAACGAGAGTTCTCTTTATTAAAATAGGCATTTTTCAAAAAGGCCTCACATTAACCCCTCAAACCAATCCCCCTACATCCAGCACCGCTCTCTTCTACTTCAAGTCGCATTACGTGACAGACAAGTGTCTGGCTCCAGCGGACCTGTGCACCGACTTGAGACCCCCTGTAATGCGCACAGACACAGGAACGGTCACTGACTTTAAGGGCCATGGTGTTAACTAACCAATAACAACTTAGCCGCTGTCATTTTTTGTTTAGAGGGAAGAGAGCAGCCCCCAAATGTCCTTAACTCACAGGTACTTCTCTGTAACATGCAGAATGAAAAGATAATCTCTAAAATTAAAAGCATTAGAAAATACCTTGAATAAATGTTTTACGCAAATGTTAAATTTCAGATCTGAACTGTATTTTCTTTTGTATTTCGATTTGGAAAAACCTTTCACAATTATGAGCTCTTCTTACTTACATTTCTTTTTGACTATCTGAATTGAACACACAGCAGTCTGAAAATTCCCCGTGGTTACCACTCCCCGTGTTTATGGGCTGTCTTTCCTCAGGTGAGTCCGTTGGATGCGTGTGAGTGCTGGGGAGATTTAAATAGCACTTAGTATTCACGAGAGCTCTGAAATGCTGAAAGTTTCATTATTATCTACTTACTGTAGGACTTGTAATTCAAATTCACCACAGCACTACAGGTGCTGTGTGAATGGAATGCACACAATTCCCACAGACACACAAACTGAAGTCCAAAAGGCACAGAGTAATGCTGGTGGCTCTTTCTAGTCAGTTAAGAAACAATAAAAAGTCTGCATTATTCTTTCATAATTTAAATACTTAAGTAATCTCCACTTTTATTACTTTATAACAATGACTTCAAATTTACATTATTTTAAGTACCATTGTAATAGCTTAGTGTATATTACAGATATTTGCTTTATCCCATCCAAAAAAACCTCTTCGCTATATATATATAAAAAAATATTCTGAAAGACAAGAACATAGAAGAGGGACTTACTTGGTACAGACTACCAACTCAATCTCCTATTACCACAGTTATACTTCCAAAATTAACAGATATACAGCAATAATAGAAAGCAGTGCAAATATCTTTGGAGGTTAGGACAAAATTATAATTCAAGAACATAAAACAAAGAAATAAAAAAGGCAAGTACTTCAAGTACAAGGAACCAGTCTGCGTGAGGTCCATCTTAGTGTCTTCTGGGCGCTTCTTTCTTGCTTTTACTTCTTTCTCTGAAACACATTGGCCAACATGGCACCTGATGTTGTCAATTGGCCCATTTTGTTCAAAAACTTGGTCTTTGTATCTTCGCTCACTAAGCTTGCAGCAATTGACATTGAGCTAGAAAAAAAATTTTAAAAATCATGTAAAGCAATTAAAAAAACTAAAATATCCATTTTCTCATTTCTTTCGTAAATACATTCTGACCTGATATCTGAAAAAGGAAGCTGACATTTATGGGGAGAGATTCATGTAAGCAGTACTAGGTAGTGGTTAGGAGCAAGTTGGGAATGAGGCTGAGTCTGGGCTCTGTCATTTACCAGCTGTGTGACTCTGGGTAGGTTATTTAATCTCATCTGTAATATCATCCTCATCTGTAAAAATCAAAGTAATTCTATTACCTAACTCATTGGGCTACTTGTGTGTGTGCGCTGGGGGCGTGGGGAGTGTGTGTGTATGCCAGGGGTGGGGGGGTAGTGTGTGTGTGTGTGTGCGCGCACGTGCGCGCGCCGGGGGCGTGGGGAGTATGTGTGTGTGTCGGGGGCGTGGAGGGGGAGTGTGCATGTGTGTCGGGGGCATGGCGGTGTGTGTGTGTGCGTTCGTGCCGGGGGCGGGGGGAGAGTGTGTGTGTGTGTGTGTGTGTGTGTGTACCGGGGGCAGGGGGGAGTGTGTGTGTGTGTGTGTGTGCGCGCGCGCCGGGGGCGGGGGGAGTGTGTGTGTGTGTGTGTGTGTGTGTGCGGGGGCGGGGGGAGTGTGTGTGTGTGTGTGTGTGTGTGTACCGGGGGCGGGGAGAGTGAGTGTGTGTGTGTGTGTGTGTGTGTGTGTGTACCAGGGGCGGGGGGAGAGTGTGTGTGTGTGTGTGTGTACCGGGGGCGGGGAGAGAGAGAGAGTGTGTGTGTGTGTGTGTGTGTGTGTGTACCGGGGGCGGGGGGAGTGTGTGTGTGCTCGTGTACTTAGTCTGATAGGATGAAATGCTTATTCCTGGCAGTCAGCTTTTAAAGGAAACACCTTTGAGCTTTTTATGTAACTGAGTCCATTTAAGAGTAACTGCTCAAGGTTACCTCAGCAAGAGCTACGAGTATTACTTCCTCTCCCCAATGCTCAACTTCACTCTTTTAAATCTATGTTTGTATTTTAATTTCATTGGATGTCCACATTCTAATTAGTTTGGTTAGAAGCATGTGACTAAAACATTCACAAGTTTACAATCCTTTATGCAGTGTGTCCAGTTGCAGCTTAGAGACTTCTGTCACAGACTTCTAAGAAACTAAGTTGACCAGTGATTCCCAAATCCGCATATCAAGTCATCTCTTTGAAAGCTTTTAAATACAGAGCTCTCCAGGCTGAATCGGAATGTTGAGAGGCGGGCACAGAGAATGGTCTCTCTGCCCCATTCTGAATTTTAAATTCCCGAGATAATGCTGATGCAGGAGGTTTACGGACTAGCATTTAAGAACTGCTAATTTAAAGAATTTTCTTGTCTTCCAGATAAATGACTACAAAATAACACAAAATAAAACATCATTACCACGTACAGAAAATGTAGAGAAATTAAGGTTAACCTGAAGTTTTAAAAAAAGAATTAATGTCTTACCCTTGAGGCTCTTGGACAGTCTTATTCTCTACTTTTTGTTCACATTCTTTTATCATGGAACTTAAAATAACCTGATTTAAAAAAAAAAAACTTTAGTGAAATACAGCTGACACAGTGAAATGCTATGGTTAATTTAAAGTTTTTAATTTAATTTTTAATATTCCCATAAGCTAATGTGTTCATTACAATTTAAAGTTTTGACAGTTACTTTGTTAAAGGAATTCACATTAGATTGCTAGATAAGGTGCAGAAATAGCATTCTGACTTTCACTAAACTTCTTTCTAAATCTGATTCCCATTCTCCTTGGCTTGCCCCACCATCTACTGTTAAAAGTTAAATTTGTACACATCTATAAATATAACACACACACACACCATGGCCACACACACATTTCCTCAGTAAGAGCTGTTCTGTCCCATACACTTGCTTTCTCCCAGTTGCAAAATCCAGGTGCGCTGCTTTAAAGTTTACAGCAGAGACCAGGTCTAGGCTGAGATACTATGTACTGGGCATTTACGAGCTAACGTCATTTTTGCAGGGAGACTGAGTGATGGGAAGGGCAGAGGGGTCTGAGAAGCCGCCGCCCCTATTGCTAGCAACCAGACCAGGAACAACTGGCGTTCCTGAACGTTCTCGGCCCATGTTTGGACACGGAAGTCCCCGTCACCTACCATGTGCCAGGCACTTTTTTAAACACAGAGAATGCAGAAAATAAAACAAACAACTTTTCCCTCCTGGTGAATATATGTTCCTATGTTCTAGACAATAAACACACAAAAATAGGTGTATTAGATCATATATTAGGCAGTGATAAAGGCTTTGGAAAGAACACGGAGTAAGATGAGAAGTAGCAGGCCAAGGTAGAGGATGTTACAATTCACATGAAGATTTTCTGAGCAGCCTTAAATTCATGTGCTTGGAATTAAGAACAGTTAAAAAGGAACTTAAATAAATAAGAAAACTTAAAAGTAAATCTAAGCTTCCTCCTTAAGAAATTAGAAAAATATTTAAGAAATTAAACCTAAAGAAGGCAAACAGAAATAAAGATGAAAGTAGAGATCAATGAAACAGGAGATGAACAGAGAAATATCTACACAGCCAGAAGTTCAATATTAGAAAAGCTTCATGAAATCAATAAATCCCTATCAAAACTATTTTAAAAAGAAAGGAAGAAACAAGTTAACAACATCAGAAGTGAAAAAGGCATAGCAATACAGATCCTACAGTATGAGAAAAGGAGAAAATAAAGTACAAGTATTAGAAAAGAACATACTATTTGCAAATGACCATTCTATATATAAAACATACACCAAAAAAATCCAGAGACATTTTATTAGAATTAATAATAAAGTTTCTCAAGTTGGCCAGACTTAAGTACAACATATAAAAGTTATATATATTTCTATATATCAGCAAGAAAGGGTTAAAATATATATAATCCTAAAAAAAGATACCAGTATAACATTATAAATACAACGCGTCACATTTTCTCAGATGAAATTATAAATACGTGTAGTATGTAGCATGTTCTGTATAGGAAAACTTAAAATCAGGAAGGTGATGTCTCCCCCACTACTTTATAGAACCAATTCAATTTCAATAGGAATATGAATGAGATTTTTTTGGAACCTGATAACATCTGATAAAATTTACAAGGAAAAGCTAAGCATCATGAACAGTTCTAGAAAACCGCCACAAAACAATGCTACACTTGCCCTACTAGTTTTCAGGACTTTTTAACAAGGCCACTGTATGAAGACTGTATATCAGTTTCAGTGAGTGACCGTAAGACCAATGGGAAAGGATGTTCCCTCCTAAGAGACAGGCGCACACATGGACATGCGTGATGGAGGTGGCGCTGCCCATCAGTACAGACACAACGGACTGTTCAATAAACAATGACGGGACAACTGCTTATCCACAGAGAAAAAATGTAATTGGAGCACTACCTCACACCAATTCAAGATGGATTAAGAATTTTTTTTTGTAAAAATATACCTTCAAACATTTTAAAAGTATAGGAGATAATGTTTTTTGAAAATGATCAATGCCAGAAATATGAAAAGACATATCACAAATTGAAAGATACTCACAAAACACAAAACTGATAAAATACTGGTATTCCTAATATATAACAAACTTTGAAGACATAACAGAAAAAAGACAACCCAGATAAGAAATGGGCAAAAAACCTAAATAGGCTTTGATTGAAGATCCTAACTAGTCAATAAACATACAAAGGATGCTCAAGTTCAACAATAAACAGGGAAATACAAATAAAAACAATAATGAGATACCATTCTATATCCAGCAAATTAAAGAATCTTACAAATACCAAGTGTTGACAAAGATATGGATGAAAAGGGTACGCACTCCTACACAGTCCTATCAGGCACGAGAACTGTCCTTTCACTTGGATCACCAGTGACCTCAGGGACAGCACGCCCCCAGCTTGGTGTGATGGCGGTGGACATGGCACAGACACAGTCAGTGTGAAAGCTGACACGGAGCAGAGACGATGGGGAGGAGAAGAGACTTGGGGGAGGGGTGAAGGAATGTTTTTGTTTTGCTTCCTTTAAGAGGGGAGAGTCAATTATGATAATAGATTAAAGAAAAGCTGTAGAAAGATATGCTGAAGATACAGAATAAGAAATAAATGACAAACAGGGTTTTGGAGGAAATAGGAAGACAAATAGAATGAAAGGGTTATGAGGAAAAGGAGATAGAAAATAGAAATCTATCTTCCAAGTAAGTTGATGGTCGGAGATAACAATGTATAGAATTTTATAGATTGAAAGTATTTCATGTACATTATCTTATCAAATTCTAATTATATTCAGTGAAGGAGAGTAAGTTATCCCTACTATGGAGAATGAAACAGACTCAAGGATGTTAAAGGAGTTGCTCAAGACCTCATAAATGGTAAATCAATCCATAAAATGACATTGAACTAGATTTAAAAAAATTAAGTGCAGCATATCATAAGCATGTCTCCAATAAAGAGAAATAAAAATCTGTACAGGAGATATTAAAACATATGAACACGCCACTGATAATCACAGTGGTGAAATCACCACAGTAGCTCACCTCGTGCTCCGGAGAGAGATGTTCCATGTCAGTCCGTAAACATCTGAGACCAGGCAGAAAGTGATTAACCATTAAATCCTCTGAAATGACTTGAGACAACATAGTTAAGGGAATTAAAAAGAAAACCCCAAAACTGGTATGTCCACCACAACAGTAGGATGATGTAACAGCAGCTCTCTTAAACAACGCCTACGGCACGCCGATGGCCTGGAGTAAACAGCCTTCCTGAAGCGTGAGTCTCATTTGTTGAGTTAGTTACTTATCAAGAGTCAATTGACTTTATTCCCTCAAACTTCTTTGTCAGTGGTATTCGGTACTGTAAGTTTACATAATTACATGTTTTATAAACATATCAAATAATGAATGTGAAAATTAAGTCATGTAATTTAATTGATGTTTAAATGAATAAAGTGACTATAAAAAGAGAATTGATGTTTCCATGACAATTAAGTTGAAAGCTTTAGAAAAAATTGATGAAGGCCAATCGCTTAAAACATTGCTGTTTAATTATGTATTATAAGAACTGTAAAAAAATTAGTAAAAATATAAAACTAGAAGAAATTCTATATCTGGTATCAATAATGTTTCCTGATCCTTTTTAAAAAAAACGTAAGCTGAAATTATAGACCATTACATTATAGATATGGTCTAAGAAAGATAATGTTTAGCTCTAATCAACAGACATAAAAGAAATGCCTTAGTCCTACACGAAAAGATGAGTAAAAAGAAAATACATTTACGTATTTCAAGTTAAAATAAGTTACCTTGGTATATAACATTCTCTGATTTCTTGCTTTAACAATTCTACTAAATTGATCTACTATTGGTCCTAATTGAATTGGGTAAGAGAACTTTTACTGTAATATCAGTATTTGTATATTTCCTTGTCATTTTTGAGATTTAGTTGATTTTGATTATTTTGACATGCAAAGGAATCAGGAAAGCAGATGCATATTTCAAGAAAACAAGTCACCTTGCTTATTCACATCAACTCTGACACCGTCGCACCATACCACAGTTTTCAGCTATTTAAAAACAGTTCTTCTTAGCCCTGACTGGTGTGGCTCAGTGGATTGGGCATCATACCGCAAACTGAAAGGTCGCCAGTTCGATTCCTGGTCAGGGTACATGCCTGGGTTGCAGGCCAGGCCTCCAGTTGGGGGCATGCGAGAGGCAACGGATCAATGCTTCCCTCCCACGTAGATGTTTCTGTCCCTCTCTTTCTCCCTTCCTTCCTCTCTCTTTAAAATAAATAAATAAAGTCTTTAAAAAAATCTGAAAGTAGTTCCTGTTAATATACCAATATTAAAAGTGAAAAATGCCAATAAATGCGTTCCCTTATAAAGGTGAGTAAATCAGTCTTTTTGGAAAAAAAATTATTTCATTATGTAAACAAATCAGTATTTTATACATATAATATATAATTATGGCCTTAATATACAGTTATACATAAAAATTGCTTTTAAACAAGATTCCTATATATTTAAGAAATGACCTAAAAACCAAACTCCTATAGACATAGAGAGGGCTGCAACCTAACAGTGAGGCAGGCCTGTTTTCTAGGTATGGGAAAAGTACCACCAAGACATCAGTGTAAGTGACCTTTGAATTGGAAGTTGAGCCTGTGACCTAGAAACATGGGCATGGACTGAGCAGCTGAAGACGGCCTTATTTGGAGGTAAGACGGAATTCACTCTCTTCCTCTTTTTCTACACACTGTTTGGTTCTCCCTTTTCCCCATGGGATCAAACAATCTTTGTTAAGGGGTGAAGACTTGGAGGTCAGTTAGTCCCATCTTGTGTTAGGAATCACGTTTTCCTCCTCCATGAACGGTGGCCATAGAGCCTCTGATTCTAACAATGACAGAACACTCAGAGTTTCATAAGGGAGATCACTGCATTTTTGGATAGCTCAATTAGAAAGTTTTTCTAATACACCAGATTGGCTTCTCTGGGACCTCTGCTTGCTAGTGTTAGTTCTGCACCTTGGTTACCATACACCTAACCTCTCTTCTACATTCACAACCTTTGAAATAATTTTTAAATTATCTTTTCATCTCCAAGGCACCTCTTTACCATGTTCAATGTTTCTAAATTTCGTCAAAATTTTTAAAAATATGATTTTTTGTCTTATTACTATGCTGAATGTTAAACACTACAGCTTTTCCACGTCCTTATTAAAGTATCATGCCAGGATTGAAAGGAATGCTCTTGTGTTCTATCAGCTCAGCACGCCCGGAACAGCAGAGCCGATGTGGCCCCGCGACCTCATCAGCGGCCACCCCGGCCGGCCGGCACAAGCCCAAGCGCTGACTCGCGCAGAGTGGATGTCTTTACCCTTGAGCGAGGCGCTGTGAAGACTGTTCCTTCCCTCACTGCTGTGAAGACTTTTTCCTGTGTTCACTCCAGGAGCACTCTACGCACACCTAGGCCCACAATAACAGCCTTCTCTGCAGACATCCGTGCTCTTTGAGACCGCCGCCTTGCCCCCTTGGACATTTAGCTTTCCAGGGCTAAAATTTCTGATCTTTTGACTTTCCCATTTTCCTTTAGAAGCTCTCTTCTATTAAAAATGTAAATGGCATTGTTTCAGTTTTTAAACGTCTACTTTCACAAAGCCTAGGGAACAGGTATAACCAGAACTGTCTTTTCTTTGAAATGCAAACGGACATGCCAGCCATCATTGCTTTCTCGTAAGGGTCCTGCCACTTCTCCGTTACTAACGAGCTCTTTCTTGCTAATTCAGGATGTTGCTTCCTCTTTTGGCTTCCTCTATCTTTAATAAGTTGAAAATGCCAACAAGATAAATCAAGATTGATAATAAGTTCTCCTTTTTGGTGGAATTAAACTTAGAAGATGGACTTATGGATAGTTGAGGCACAAAATTATCAAAATATGGTATTTCTACCCACTTTATAATCTATATTATAAAAAACATGGCTTACACCATCTGGATGAATAGATAATTTGCAGTTGAGTCCCAAAGTAAAATACTCTCTATCATGCATCCAACTTCAAGTTATATATAACATTTCCAAAAGGACAAAAAGCTCCTTAGCTAAATTCCTACTGCGTCCATTTGATTTACCCTGAACAAAACCAACCTCCCATTGAGACATTCCAGTCAAGGAGTGTCAGTGGCATTTTGGAACATATTTGCCTTATTTAAAATTACCTTTTCATTTTATTACTTCAAACTTCTATATAACAATATGAAACCACAAATTTTAATCCTGAAACACTTCTTTTGTCCTCTACTTTCTCCTATGAATCATTAGAAACCTTTCTCTACTGTCACTTCTTTTTGTCATAATCCAATTCTCCAGTTATGCTGCCCAGCTCGTCCTTTCACAGTTCTGTTTGCGTGTCTGGCCTTGCACGCCTTTTCAATCGCTTATTTCCCCTTCCCTGAACTCACCTGCCTTTCACTGGGAAAGCTAAAAGCTGGAGTTCACTGGGCTCATTGTTATCTTTACTTCCTTCTTTGTTTTTATTTTACTAGGCCTACAACAGTAAAGAGAACATTTAAGAGGACAGCTAAGGTTCTTAGCTGTAGTCACAGTTTTGCTTTTTAATTATAAACAAGTCACGAACGTAAGCTTTATTTCAATCATTTATAAAATGCAGCGGTTGGCGTGGGTTAGACAGTCTCTGAGCGTTCTCCACTTCCACCTCCTCTGGAGATGGTCAGCCACATTGGCACTGGCCTCTTTCCATGAGCGCCCTCTCTCAGGAGGCGCGCACTGCGCTCCATTGGATGTGGATGCTGAGACATTCACTGAAAACTCCAACGCCAGGATGCACACGAGGCTTCCTTTTGATTAACAGAAGCCTCAGCTATAATTCATTTTTTGTTCAGTTATATAGCTGACCAACATAAATGAAACTTTAGTCAGTATTTTTAAAACTGTAATATAAAAGCACAGAGGGCTTAAAATTACCTTGTGAAATTATGAGGCTGCTAGAGTAAAGAGTAGGGCAAGTCAGGTCAAGTTTTTAATTTTCTGCAATCCTTATGTAAGTTAAGTTGAAGAAAAAAATTCTATTTCTTAACCTTTAATGACTGAGGTGGTTCATTGTAAGGCTGGTTATATAAGTATAGATCTGCATTAATCAAGGATACAACAACAGGAAAGTGCACTGTAGGCTTCAAAAAGATGAGTAGCAATATCCAGTCTTTTAGAATCCACAATTTGTAAGTTGTTCACCAAGGCTAACTTATGCAAATGTGGTATAACAACTGGAAAAAAAAAAGAAATGGAAATTGTTACATTTTTACCTAAAGCTCACACACACACACAACACTCATACATCTTAAAAAATATTTTTTCATTTTAGTTAATAAAATTTCACTTTAATTCTAGATGATTTTCAAAAGATTAGCCACACCCTATGCTTGCTTTCTTTTACTAAAAAAGAGCACACATTTTTCAGAATGAAGAGTGACCTGGGATTGGGGAGAAACAGACGGCAGCCCTGGATCCAACCCCTTTACGAGGCTGCATATACACTGCCTGCGGCCTCACTGCAACTCAATTTCCGAACGTGAAAAATGAAACTAAAGAAACAAATGTAAACAATCTACTTTCTGTGTTATTATCTTTATAAATTTCTCTATAAAAATTAGGTATTACCAGTGCTATTAAACAAAAGATAAATATAGTACATGTATTCTTTTTCAACATCAAATTATTTCACACTTTCATAAAACTACTATTAGTTCTAGTTTCTCAAATTCTTAGCAAAGACCAGTGTCAGACAACACTGGAGATTGAGTTTTTAAGTCACTCAATGGGCACAATATTTTATATATCTCAATGAATAATGTAAAATTTCAAAAATACAGGCAACCTATTGCTAAAATAATAGTGATAGCCCAGGAGACAGTAACCAATTCAGTAGCAATGAGCCCCACTACTGCTGAAGACTGTCTTCTAAACACATACCGCTTCCCAATAAAACCAGGGTTCCTTCGGGGTCTCCAATGATCAAATTGTTGATCATACACCCCTTCCTACTCTCTGCTTGCTTGGGGAACCCAAAATACCATTCACAAGAACATACTTCTGACCAACTGTAGTGACTTCTTTTATGTTCACACTGAGTTTGTATATATTAAAGCCACAATCTCCTCCTAGAAAAACCTCCTGCTTCCTCAATAACCAGATAATATAAACACAACTTTTATGCTTACCTTAGTAAATGGCAAAAAAAACAAACCCCATAAAAACTTAGGATAACAATGACCATTTTTAGGGGACTTTTAAAAAAATTGATTTTACAGAGAGAGAAGAAGAGGGGGAGGGAAGAAAGAGAGAGAGAAAAAGAGAGAAACATTGATTTGTTGTTCCATGCATCCATTAGTTGTTTCTTTCTCTATACGTCCTGATGGGGGATCAAACCCAAAACCTTGGTGTATCTGGATGGCACTCTAACCAACTGAGCTACTGAGCCAGGGCCTAGGGGACTTTTTGACTTATGAAAATTAGTAACAACATACTTAAGAGGAATTCTAGAAAAATTCAGGAGACAAAAACACCCAACATTTATGATTTTCCAATAAAACTGTTTAAACTCCAATTCATTCATTGGCATGCCAAAGCCACTTCATGAACAAAGCCACCAAAATGGTGACCCCAAGGTAGTCTCTCCCAAAGACTGTCTAGTTCATTTCTGCCCAAATCTTTAAAGCTTACCTTGCACATCTCTATTTGTTGACACATGGCCTTTACTCCTTCTGCTCCTTCTCTGACCAACTATATAGGTTATCCTTTTCCTAAAGTCCTGGCTGAATGGCTCAGTTGGAGCATCACCCCATACATGAAAGTGTTGTGGGTTCAAGCCCCAGTCAGGGCACATACCTAGGTTGCAGGTTCAATCCCCAGTCAGGGTGTGGATGGGAGGCAACTGATCAATGTTCTCTCTTACATTGATGTCTCTTTCTCTCCCCCAGTTCCTCTCTGTCTAAAATCGGTAAGTATATCCTTGGGTGAGGATGTTAAAAAAAAAAAAAGAAGAAGAAGATCAAGAAGAAGAAGACTCTTCCAATATTGCAGAAGAGAGGAAGAGCTTTATTCGAGAATTCAACATTTCATTTTATACGTATGGTCCTGGGCGACCCTATCTGTACCAATTAATTCATTTTTTAACCCCTCAGATGGAGATAAATGGTTAAAAATTGATAACCTAGATGTGCATAATTCTACAACTGACCTATAGTGTGGGCAAGGAAAAAGAGGAAAATACACAACATAAGGCTATTGCAGAAGCCTTTCTTTTAAGGGCAGATCAGACAAAAATTCAAAACTGCAAATAATATAAAGATAATCAATAGGAGACTTCATAAAAATAGAAGTAAACTTTCAAAAAAATATTCCAGGGTAGATCTAACACCCAAAGTAAAGATAATCTTGTCCTCTCTTTTTGTAAATGGACTCAGATCTGAAATAAAAACCTTGAAAAAAACCAACCTGAAATGCACAACTGCCAGGTTAGAAAGCCTCCTATGTATGACTGAACATTTTCAGAGAGCTTTCTAAAGTAAAAAGCTGAAAATGAATAAATGAACAAAAAAATGTATCACGTTCCAGATAAAACAAATGACCCCTGAAATAAAATCAAGACCAAAAGGTCCTGTGATAACTAAAAGTTGGAAAAGAAAAAGGGCCACTGGAAGAACCAAGGTCCTCTATTCTCTAAGAAAGCAACAAATATCCAAAAAGCCACTCCTAGTTAAACATTACCACTCAACAATTCAGTGTTCTTCCTCTAAGCTTCTAAAAGGAACTGTGTATATATACAGATGGATAACAATAGAGCACCCTTGTCAATATCTATTTACTTTTATCTTTATCGACCATTAATCTTATTGACATAGGACATTAAATTTCTCTGGGTAAAGTTTTAAAGTAAAAGGGAAGCCACTTGACTGGGTGGTAGGTACAAAAGAAAAATAATTTTGTCTTAAGAAAAAAAAAGATGTCTGATTATGCCGGAATGCGAAAAAGGATTGTATAAGATACATTTGTTGGGTATACAGTAAGTTGCAGAAGGCTTCAAGGATAAAGGCTTAATTCACCTATTCAAGCAGTAGAAACTTCTACCCTCAATCTATCCATTCATGAAAAGAAAATTTCTTCTCTGTGACACATAAATCTTTCTTTTGCATATACTCAAAAGTTTATACTCAACAACACGTCACACACCGAAGACCCTTGGCTTATTTAGCGTGTTCCTTGATCCCGGAGCCAAGGCTTATTCTCCTGGCTTCAGAGCAACTACAGCCTCTCCAGGTTAGTCAAACCACCTTCAGAGTGTTTACTAAGGTCACCTGTAAATCTGATGTTACATCATGTGAGACTATTCCTTTCGCTAACTAAAATACCAAACCTTTTTCTTTTAACTAATGATGAAATATTGTTATTTTCTCTGTGTTGCCCATTGAAAACTCATCTTATGATTGTGTTTCTCCAGCTCACTAAGTGTTCATGACTTCGACAGGCCTTTGGACACTGCAGTCCAAATCCTGACAATACCCTCTTTTGATGACTCTTACCTTACAAATACCAGGCTGGATATGCAACAACCAGTCTGCAGGAGGACCCAATCTTGTACTAGAGAGCAAAATGACTTAAGAAGCCAAACCCGTGGTGCTCTTTAGAGCATGTCAAATTGCTAAGAATAAAGGGACTAAAGTATGGCAGTAATAACTGACATGCGTTTGGAGTAATAATGGCTGGAAGCTTTGATGCCATAAAGTGTCCTAAAGGTTGAGGTCCACAGGCAAGAGATACTATAGAAACATGAGAAAATGTTTTAGCAGATTACTCTGGAGTTCATTTAACAGAGCAACAATCTGTGAATTAAAATAATAGAGCTGAATGCCATGCTAAGTGGAAGATATGCATATTTTTCATAATAATATACCTAGAAACACAAAAATTTTTTAAAAATAAGGATAATAAGCTCTAAATATGAGGCAGCACAGTATTTTAAAATTAAGTTATTAAAAATGTTTTTAAAATAACTTGAAACTATTTGAGTTACTTTTCATATGTGTTATAGCTATCAGTATACAGTTTAAGAAACCGTCTACCAACAGTAATGCTGATCAATTCACAATACCAACTTGTTTCGCTTTCAGCTTTTAGTATATGAAAGATAAAGCAGAGAAAGGCTTTAACACATGACAAATGCTAAGAGAAGCCTCTGGCTTTGATCTGACATTACAATTCAGGAAAAAAGGTAGAAAAATGCAACTTACACTCATCTCGGAACCGCGGTTCTGCATTAGGCCCAACTCTACCAAATGTTTTTATGATCTCTGTATGCAAAGAATATTGGTCTTGATACTGAGGATCTTCCAGGAAAGAAGCCAACTGCATTTTCACTCTTTCCAGCAACTTAAAATTGGACATTGTACAGTCATTTTACAGATTAAAAATTGTAGGGTTGTTAAAGAATAAGGTACACATTAAACATGGCTAGCAGCACGGGATTCAAATGTTGTGTATCAATATGGCAGTAGAAATTTGAAATTAAGCAAGTACTTATTTAGTCTTTTGGCTCAGAAGAGGTTTTACATGTTTATGCTTGTTAATTCCTCAATATTTTGTTTTAGAAAAAAACATTACCTGAAAAACCAGTAAAACAAATGAAAAGATGCCACAATATTTAGGAAAAAAGAGATAAATGTTTTGTATCTAAATTAAAATTCGTGAAACAAATCACAGTGTGAGTTACCCAATTTATTCACCTTCCGAAAGCAATGAGTCACTAATGACTTACATCTTACTCACATTTCCCTAAAGACATTTTTATTTTAGGATTTAAGAACGTGTTGAAATCCTGCCAAAATTGCAAGCTTGGCAGAATGATGTACTTTTTTTATGTTGCTTCACCAGTGGAACACATAAGTGAAGAACAGAAAACATTTTTTCTATAACTAACAAAGTTATTGAATTTTCGTTATAAAAAACCTACAGGACAAAGGAATTTTACAAAATTTTTCCTTTTTTTGGCAAATGTCTATTAGATAAAATTGTGTTTTGCATTTATGTGGCAAATTAAGTACTATGCCCACAATTAATTTATCTTTAATCTACATGGGTTTTCTTCCTCTTTTTAAATTACACTTTGTTGATTAAGCTGTCACAGCTGTCCCAATGCCCCCTGCCTTCACCCCCCCCACCCGGCCCCGCCCTGGACTCCCTCAGGCAGTCCCCACACTGTTGTCCATGCCCATGGGTCACGCACGTATTGTATGTCCTTTGGCTACTGTATTTCCGATGCTGTACTTTACATCCCCACGACTGTCCTGTAACCACCACTCTGCACTCCTTCATCCCTTTACCGGTCTCCGCCCGTCCCCACCGAACCCCCTTCCATCTGACAGCCATCAAAATGTTCACTTGTATCTATGATTCTGTTTCTGTTCTGCTTGTGTGTTTAGATTCTATTGTTGATAGAGACGTATTTATTGCCATTTTATTGTTCATATTTCTAATGTTCTTAAAGAAGACCCTTCAACATTTCATATAATACTAGTTTGTGTAAGGACACGTCCAATTTGATGATAATGAAATTTTGATACTAATTTTGATAAATGGCTTAGAATTAATGTTGCAAATAGAACCTAATAAACTAGAAATTAAGTTGTAAGTTCATAAATCAAAATAAAAGTTTAGGGAGGAAGACTTTGGTAACCTGCAGCAGGCACGGCAGAGGACTGGCACGATGATGTCGGCCGTGAGGTGCCGGTCTGCTGGAAGACGTGCAACTTGAGAACAGTGACACACTTAGGAGAACACAGGTGCCCTCTAGCCTCTACTAGTGACACCAACATAGGTTTGTGTTCCTACAGTTATCTGACACACAGTCTTCATGTCTGTACAAACTGGCAACCAGGAATTGATGTGGACTGGCCAGAAGTCCAGTGGATAATCGAAGGCTTTGGAACTGGATGTGGTTTGAAGGATTATCCAAAACTGCAATACCAGCCAGGCTTAAAATAGAGCACCTGAGAGTTGGCTTATACCTAATTTTCCAATTGAGAAGACAGACTGGAGATCTCCTTGGGAAAATACACTTTGGACAGACTACTATGTTTTCAAATACTCAGATCCTCCTCTGGCCACACTAAGAAATAAAATGAAAAGTATGATGCTCCAGCGCCCCCATCCCCACTGGGTACCTGTATGGTAACGTATTATCGTAATCTCAACAATATATAGAAATAAATTTCAATCACTTCCTACCTCTCTTTGAATAACTGTTTCCATAATAGTGCCAAAGGCTGGAATTGTGGCAATCCTGACAGATCTGTTAGAATTGAAAGAGAAATAAACTGAAGCTTTCTTTGAGGTAAAAAACTATTATTAAAATGTATATCAAAGTAAGTACAATGTAAATATACTGTTATCAGTCTCTAGCAATGACAAATTAAATTTTAAAAAGGCAGACCAAGAAGAATGCTCAAAAAGGCAGACAGGGTAACTTAAGGTCGCAGTCTGTGAAACTCACAATTCAGGATCACTGGACAAGGTAACAAGGGCCGGAGCAACCCGCTTGTCAACTAACGCTTCACTCATGCCTCGAAGAGTCAGCTGTAAACCAGTCAACATGCAATAAAAAATGGTTTGGTAAACTGGAATGAGAACTGGGTTAGCTGTGACTGAGGATGGGCAGGCAGACTGATTGGCCTTTCTTGGTTTAGTCACCCACTCGAGACATTAAAATGTTAAGCCTTTGGTTCATGCCACTATACTTAACTGGTAACAAAATGTTAGTGAGATTAGCAGAGCATCCCTTCTTGGCTTGAAAGAAATAGTCCATCAGCATGTTTTAAGTTTTGGAAATGTTTTGAGAACACTACTAATACATATTTTTAAACATATGGCCTCCAAATTAAGCTTACTGTGAAGGTTGACTTAAGGATACATAAATGTCTTAGGTATGATAAAGTTTAACTTTAGTATTATTTTATTATTTTATTTTAATAACAAATACATTTGTCAATGAATTTAAAAGCCGATGGTTACTTCTTGACAGGCACGTTTTGAAAGGGATGCTGAGTGTAAAAGGCAGGGACCACACTTACATTTCGGGGTCACTGGAGAGAGTAATGAGAGCAGGAACAACCCTCTGAGCTACCAGAGTCTCATTCACCCCCTTCACCAACAGCTGATTGGTCGGCGCAGGGGGTATTCACAGGTGATGCATGTTAAGAGCAAACAATGCCACGGGAGGAAGAAAGGAGTAACCAAGAGAAAGAGAGAAAACACAAAAGCAAAAACAAAATTAGAAGCTAAGCAAATATTGCTACTAGAGTGCTTTATAAAGGCAGAGAATGCTTAGGCGGAAAACAAAGCTTAAATAGCCTGGCAGTCCACAAAAACAGAGTTTGTCACCAATTCAATGGCAGTTTGTACTTTTGGTCAAATAGTCTATGCAATTTCCATGTTCGATTAAAATGTAATTTAAAAGAAAGCTTTACAAAAATAAGCTAAATAGAAGACCATGCTGGGTTCTATGGTTAAAATTCTTTAAGTAAATCTGGTGATTTTATTATGACCAACAAGTTACAAACTGGACTGTTTTTAAACAAAACTCAAATGGCTAGCAGCCACCACTAAGTTGCTTCTGATTGTTCTATAGCAAGTTAATTTAAAAACTGCATAGGAAAATCCTCAACCTTTTATAATCACGCAGCTTTCTCTTTTGAGGTAGAGAGAGAGAATATGGCCTAGTGAAAAGTAAGACACATGGGAGTAAAAACTGGGTTCAGACTCTAGCTCTCCACTTATCAGCCATGTGGCCTTAGACACATTATTACATAATCTCTTGAAACTCAGTGTTCTCATCTGAAAGTGGTGATACTGTCATCCACCTTAAAGGATAGTTATGCAACTGATTACGCATAATATACCTCAATACTGTGCCTGACCAAGACGAGGCATGCAAGAAACAGGACTTTAATTATCAATATTATGGGTATTCCAAGGATATAAGATTTATGATATATTAGGAAAGAATTAAAAATTTTTTTTATTGTATGGTGGCAGATGAAAATGAGACTTTTGGTGGTAAGGATGATGTAGTACCTAAGATGTCAATTTATAATGTTGGGCATCTAAAATTTATATAATGTTATAAACCAATGTTAACGCAATAAAAGATACATTTAAAAAATAAAAAGATTTTTTGACTGGTTCAAATGGTTAACATTTACAAAGAGTTTTTTGTTTTATATTTCTCTCAAGTGTATGAACAGCAAGGCTTCCCCCCGCTACAACTTCCAACATATGCCCAAGAAACATCTGCAGGGATTTAAAATAGCCCTGTCTCTTCTTGTGATGTGTTTTTACAAATAAAGAATAGTTCCATTTTTTTAAGGAAGTGCCTTTTGGTGGCATTCCACTAGTCATTGACAGATGTTCAGTTCAGTCTCTTGACAGAGCCCTAATTGGGAAGTGGACAGTTGTGTTGTTAGTTGTTTTAATGTCATTTTGTTTATTTTATCAGTAGCTAACGTAAACATTGTTTTGCAGTTGCAAAATTCAAAAGGAACAAATACATGATGAATGAAAAAAAATCAAACCAAAAAAACCCCCAAAAAGTACATAAGATGAGCACCCTTAGACCCATCTCTACAATCTATTATAATCCATTTAGTAGCCAAGCCTATATCACAGAACAAGAGGGCAATATTGTGAAGTATGTATCTTGTTTTTATAAAAATTACTGAATTTTATGAGTTCAACTGAGAAGGGCAATTTCCAGATCCCAAATTCTCCATTTCAGAAAGTAAACACAAGCTAACCCTAAATGCTAATCAATGTGCTCTCTTGCAAAGGAACCAGTCCTCTTGGAAGATGAAAGATGCTGTGGATTTTTTAGTAATAAAGACCCAACACTGTGTGCGCGTGTCAACACGCTCCTCCAACACAGCGTTGCAGAGGAGCAGAGGCCACTTTACGGGGAGAGTCTTGGTTTTACAACAAGCAGGTACCATTTAACAGCTGATTCATGTTAGCATCTACCTCACAGTATTTACAAAAAACCATGGATATTTATGCAGGCATAAAATGACAAAAGAACTTTTGTTGCTACCTTAAACATTAATGATATCAGATATCAATACAAAGAAATAGGAAAAAAAAGTTCAAATACTGTTCAATAAAATTCCTATTTACAAATGGAACAGAGAGCTTAGATTTGAATCAGTTACATGTATCTTGAAATGTCTGCTATCTTGTGCCAGCCAAAAAGCATTACCAAAAAAAAAGGATAATCTAGTTAATTTTTCATTGCTCTGGGGTAAGTCTAATTTCTTTGTTGAGCAAGAATGTCATAAAGCAAAATTTAAGAGCTATCAATTATTATGCTACATACAATATCTCATTTGATCTTTAAACTAGATGAGGTAAGTACAAGTATTACGGATGTTTTAACAGATGAAAAAATGAGCCTTAGAGAAGTTAAATAACTTGGCCACAATTTGAGAAGTGAGGCTAGAAAATGACTCAGTCACATCTGTGTTAAAGCCCATATGCCTTTGGTGAGCTGTGGTCCACTCTTAGTTATATGCTTAATTTCCTTCTGATCGATAGGCAATAACATTAAATGAAGTTCTTTTCTGCATCTTCTGGGAAATCCATTATGTCACACTGGGGGGTCACATGATCAAGTCACCTTATAAATCAATTTCAATAATTTGCTACTTCTAGTAATAATGTATTATCTTTTAACAATAATAACACTACAGACTGTTTCCCCTTTTTGTCCAGCTGTCTGAAAACTCGGATCTAAATTCAGTGTTCAATTTTACTCAAGTATCTCATATTATGTTCCTAGCATATCATTTCTTGCCTCTCAACAGTTTCTAGTCTCACACTGAAATAGTTTTAAGTGTCCTGTTTTTATGTTTTAATTTAAATTAACTTATTTTGGAGGAGAAGCAGGCATAATTATAAATTATAAACTATTAGTATCAAAAGATATCTTGTAGATATACTTACTACTTTAATACAATTTTGTTTAAAATAAGGGTCACTGACCAAAAAGGATTAATTTTTCCTACTGATGATTTCTACTAGCATGCTCAGTGAAAATTTTTTATCAAATGAATTTTAAAAACTATTGAAATAAGTCTCTCAAACTAGACTCAGAAGCTCATCCTCAGCCTGGGAGAACACTGCCAACCGCTTAAGCACAGTTTCCAGACCAGCACTGACTGCAAACACAGCAACCCAAACCCGACAAAGCCACATGTAAGAAATAAGGCAGGAAAAAAGTCAAAAACAAATAAAAAGGGAGGATGCTTCATTTCATTTATTTAAATTATTTCCACTTACATAATTTGCTTCACCAGTGTATACATACATTTTAGAAACCAATGGTTTAAAAATAGTAGTTTTTTTACTCTTAGAATAAACTCCTAAAGAACTAGCTCTTCATTTAAAAGGATATTTTTTCTTTAGGGAAAGGAAAGGGTTGAAGAAAGGCTTTTTTTTTTCTTTTATGATAATTACTCTTTCTCAGCCTATGAATGATCAACAATTATGTACACCCAGAAGGACATCAGACTGAATTTTTAAACTGGCATTCACTTTGACAAAGAACACCTGATTATAGTTTTCTTGATCAAATATATATAATAACTGAGTAACATGGACAGAGAACTTTCAACCTCCATATAACAATGAAATTTTCTTTAAATTCCACATATCTATTTTATATATTTAAAAGTTTCAGAAGGTATATCTTTCAAATATATTAGAGCTCTATCCTTTAATTACGATTTATCTTACATTGTGGAAAAATTCTGAAATTCAGGAAAAACTGAATTATACATTTTATGGAAATAAATGGTTTATGGTATTTTAAGACTCACATGCATTTTTGGGGCATTTTAATTCAGATAAAAATATGTTTCCTAAACTATAATATTATTTTGTGAAGAAATAACATAAATAAAAAAAAATGATAATGATAGTTAACATTTATTAAGCTCTTATTAAGCGCCAGACACTGTTTTAAAGGCTTTATAAGTTTTAATTCTTACTGTTAACAAAAATCCTTTGGGACGGATACTTATTATCATCTTCATTTTATAGATGAGGAAACTAAGGCACAGGGAAATTTGAACTTGCCACTAAGTGGCAGAGACAGACACTGAACCCAGGTAGTCTGGCTCTATGCAAAGATTCAACAGCAATAAGAAATACTCTAAACCACTTTTCATACTTAAATTCTATGGTCCGGCAGAAGTAATGCCTGCTTGAGTGTGCTTGGCAGGGTAATAATACAGTCATAATAATTTACAGTTTTAACTTGAACATTTCACCTAAAATGTCATATGGTGTGCTTGTGTGTGAGATTGTTGTGTTATAGAATTACAAGCTTATGATTTTGTAATAAAAAAGCAGTGTTATTTGTGCCAGACCCAATATATATATTTCTAGGTGATAAGAGAATTTCCTCTATGATAGGTACAAAAGATAGGTATTTCAATTTTTATAGTTAACTTGGGTAGGTGGCAATTTAAGGAAATCTAGTTAAATTATATGAACAGTCTATTCTCTCATAAATCTATGGGCTGCTAATCTATAGGGAGGTTATTCTGGATATGACATGTAGGGGAATAGTGAAATAGGACTAATCAATAAAATATTTCTATAGCTGTAACAATTGATCTTTTAATGCTACTCATGAATACAACTATATTTTACAACTTTGAAAACACCCTGTATTGCTTTAGTTTATTTTAGTAGCCACGTACCTTAGTAAACAGAAAAGTATAGTCAAAAAGATTTACATAGGATGAAAATTAAAATAAGATTTAAAGAAAATTTGAGTAATAATAGTGACAATAGAATAGCAACCAAGGAACCATTAAGGCTAGAAAACGTTCTTAAACATTTCAAAGCTAAATTTCTGCTCCATCACACAGCACACAACTAGACACTATTCAATACCATAACATATACATCAACATAACAAAGTTTGCAAAGCCTTTTTTGTTTAAACATTTCCTTCTCCCTCTTCCAGAGAAAATCATTATACCCTGAACTAAGAGAAACATTGTCCACATACCTCAAACATCCTGGCAGCAGTGCATCTCACAAGTGCTGAAGTGTGGACAACGCCATACCATAAAACCGTTAACAGCAGCTCGTGGTAGGCTGGGTTTGCGCTGAAAGAAAAGAGATCAGGGTTGAAGGTGAGAGCCACAGCATCTTATGGGTGTACTGAAAGATACAACATTTATAAGGAATATCAATGATAAAAAAATCGGTAAAACATGAAATTACTTTAATAGTTGGTGTTACATCTAAGAGTCTTTAAAAAAAGTCACCCTACAAACTTCTGGCATACACAGAAATTATACTTTTAGCTTCTCTAAGCTAATATTATGATAGAAAATACAATCTTTAATAGCATAAAAGTTAAAATTATGAAAAAATAAAAATAAAATTAATCTATGAGGGGAAAAAAGAAAAAAAGAATGCTGGACTAAGAGTCAGATGGGTAATTTTACAGCCTCTATTGGTCTAAATTTCTGTATATGTCAAAAGTAGAGGAGCAATACATGCCCTATCTATGTCATGTGGCTGTTGTAGGATCAAATAACATCAATTTAAATCATCTTTGTACAAGGGTGAGTTGGCTGTGAAACCCATCCCAATGCGAGACAGTATTAAAAATGCATAATAAGCCTGTTTTCAGTGAAGACCGGATTCACACTGCTTTAGAAATAGATGATGTGATCATGAGGGAAAAGCAAATCAAATGGAACCGAAACAGGAGCCCAACAGCCTGGCTTTCCCTTGGGGCTCCTTTTTCAGCTTGCGGAAAACTATATTTTCTTCAAATCTGTATTTCATTTCTCCAAATGCTTTAAAGAAAACCTAAGTCTGTGCCCCTTCCCTACTCTCTTACTATAATGTATTAATTACAAAATATTAAGAATATACAAATAAGCAAAAACAAATCTTAAGCCTCAAAACCAAGAGAACTGGCATGTATACCAATCTTTTTAGACTGAAAATATGTACTCTATAAATCCAATATAAAAACTTAACATGACTTTTTAAAAACTATAGCCCTAATTTTACCCCAGTTCCACGAACGAAGCCTTCAGGCTATCAAGAGGGGCATGAGATAATGAAAGCAGGGTCATTACATCTTCTAAGAATCCAACTAACAGTTTTCGGTCTTCTTCCTACGGAGGAAAAAAGACAGATAAGTGAATTTCCAAGCAATCAAGTAGAACTAAAACTGTAATTTCTCATCTATCATTAGAAAATTTTACCAAATAGAGAGAAAATATCTTAATTTGGAAGCATTTCAGTTAAAGATATTTATTAACCACAACAGTATGAGGACAAAGACTATCTTAATTCATAAATTTAGACTTGTACTGTCCAATATGGTAGCCATACACCACACATGTTTATATTTAAATTTAAATTAAAGATTAACTAAAGTATAAGATTTAGTTCCTTAGTTGCACTAGCTACAAATCAAGTGCTTAATAGTCACATGTGGCTAGAAGCAACTGCCTTGGACAACTCACATACAGACTATTTCCATCGCTGCAGAAAGCTTTATTAGACAGTCCAGGTTTAGAATGTAAAAAAGTATAGTCTCTAATTAAAATTTGCTTAGCCAATTTTATTTCTCATTAATTTTAGCTCTAAATAAATACAAACTACTAAAATCGCCATCCCCCTAATAGAGGAAAACTGATTTGCAAGAAATTGTATTTGAATCATCTTAGTGGTAAGAAACTACATGCTTGCCGAAATGTAGACGGCTATGCTCTTAAAAGAAAATAGTTGTACCCTTGATTAAAAAGTAATCTGTATTTTTCGGACTTTAACGAACCGTTATTTTCATAATGAGGAAATTTTTCTTTTTTCTTACATTGCACTATATTAAGAAATATGCTTTACAAAAGCAAGTCTGCTAAATTAGGATATTTAAATATCTTCGTATGTTAAATTAAGCTGTATCTAAAAGGAAAGGGAATCTGATATTCTATCAGAAAATATCTAATAAATTAGAGTCAAGATTTTTGTCATTAGGAATATATTAGGTCAGCAATAAGTAGCTTCCACGAGGAAGACTAGATTACCACCTACTGGTTTTTTTTCCTACATAGTCAGACAGAGAATGAGATAGTGATAGAGTTGACAGAAGTAAAGATCAGCCTGAATAAAGATGGACATGATAGTTTTATTTTATTTTATTTTTTATAGTCAGTTGATTTTTTAAATTTTATTTTAATTTATTGTTGCTCAAGTCCAGTTGTCTCCATTTTCCTGCCATCACTTTCCCCTGCCCTTCCCACCCTCCATCCTCCCCCCGCCTTGGCTTTGCCCATGGGTCCTTTATACATGTTCCTTGGACATGTTTTAGATCGTGACAGTCTCCTTTAGTGAAAAGCTTAGACACTGACGAATCAGCATCAGAGCTACAATGAAATAGTGATTTCACCCACGTTAGTTTTCTACTATGTCAAGCAAAGAGTATACAGATATGTTAAACAAACTGAAAATCTGAAAAAGCTTAAGTGTGAAATAAGAGCTATGAAATACACTTCTAAATTAACATGGATTTTTTTAAATTTGAAATTTACTATAATCCTCTTTATGATTTTTGAAATCCCAATACAAGAAATACTGCTTATGTATTTGATTTAAAAATAGTTCTTGTTTACCAAAGAAAATAGGGCAGTGATTTACCCTAACAAAAAATTTTGTTTAGTAAGAAAAACATTAACTGTGGCTGGTATGTGCTTCTTAAAACAAGTAACACTGGCAATCTATGATAGCTATCTCAATTCACATTTTTTAATAAACTAAAGTTATAACTTCATATGTTTGGACTTCATATAGTGACTTGAAAGACAAATCCTTATTTATTTATTTGACAAATCTATACTAAGGGCCTACTAGGAGGAAAACCTTGTACTTGGTACTTTATTATGGTTTAAGACACCAAAATCAATATACAAACTTGCAGGGGTTAAACAAGAGAGAAAAACACTGAGATCACACATGTTACTATGTGCTAGAACAGCTTCCAAAATTAAAGACAGGAGAGTGGTACGCATACTATTGTGCCTGGCATGTTCTAGGACTTAATCTCCATGAATTCAACAACAGTAGAGACCACATTATGAGGTCATCTTAGAAACTAATGTAGAAAAGTTTTCAAGAATACTGTGCTACTTTAACAGTTGCGCTTCTATTGGCATTGTGTGATACTTTAGAACTATATTTTAATATTATAAGATGGTTCAAATCTGTTTTGGAAGAAGAATCCAATAAATATGAACTGCTGTACTTTGAATTCAAAGGTTAAAAGGAATGTTATTAAAAAATGGGAGAAAATTCAGGAATAAAGGTCTTTCTTTTTGAGTCTCACATTCTAATTTCCAAAAATGCTTTTATCCTGAGTCAATATTTCCACCTTACTGGCAGGACTTGCCACACAATAAAAATGACTGCTATGCCTTAATACATAGCGTACATTATTTACTTAATGTTAAGTAGAAAGCAACAGTCTGTTATATTGGTGACCTCCAATGAACCATACCTCCTGATTCACATCCTTGTTAGTTCCCGCCTGTTAAATAAATCTTGGCTGGGCCTGTGACTTGCTTCAATCAATAGGACATAGTGCTGGTGATGTGCTAATTCTAGGCCTAAGCCTTAGCCTAGCAGATTCTGCTCTGAGCTCTTGGGAGTCTCGAGCTACCACGTGCTAAGTCTGGCCCTGCTGCCCCAGAGGCCTGGTGAAGGCAGAGAGACCCTAAGACTGCACAGAGACGGGTCGGCTCTCGGCCAGCCGCCAGCTGAATGCAGTGACACAAGTGACCACCAGCACGACCAGCAGAAGAGACACTTAGCTGAGCAAAGCCCATGTACAAATAAACAGGTTATAAGAAGCCATTATGTTTTGGGGTAATCTATTATGAAGTAATAATTAAGAAAAATAAAGTATGATTAAAAAGTACTTTGCTAAAAATGATGAGAGCATAGTATTCTACAGCATTTTGAGTTTGCTTCACCTAACACATGTGCTTTCTTTGTTGTTTATAAAAAATGTATCATGAAACACAAGGAAACTGCTAAGTGCAATTATCACTTCTAACAAAGTATCAAAAAGTACACCATTTCTACCTTTATTTGTTCAATGGAGATTTTACTCAAGAGATGTATTATTCAAATACGTTCTCCACTATAAATAATTAATTGAATAAAATAAATAAATGAACTTGGTTTTCCTTTATGGCTAACATTTTCACTTATACACATGTTAAAGAGACATAACATTAGGTAGCTTTCTAAATAGAAAGCACTTGTACACTTCCCAGTAAGACAACTCTCCCCTTACCTGAATATAACACGTAAGGACTCCTGTCGCATAAATGGGGACGGTGGCTTTAGTGAGGACCCCGTTTCCTGCTGAGGAATCTAAAATTATTAAAATAATTTTTAAAATCCGAGTATATTTTAAATGTAAGGCAAAGAGTCACAATGCAATTTATATTTAAAATTGTAACTGGTTACAAGGTTTACAAATAAATATAATCATTACTTTGCAAAATAATTGATCAAAACATATCTACTGGTTGTTGTAAAATTATATCTTAAATACTTTTTACAGAGCTGTTAGCATAAATATTTTTGATAGGAAAAAACTTTAATAACCAAAATGAGATGCTATACGCCTTCCCATAATCAGAAATCAGAGCTTCCTTTAAGAGCCTCCCAAGTGCCCATATAAGCAGGTCTTCCTAAATTTTTAAGTTTTCAATCTGTAGTATTCAATAAAACGTAAAGGCACTCAGCCTAAAGGAGGTCCACAGATACATATTTAATCTGCTTCTAGGTATGGGACACTACTAGCTTCTAGTACTAGCCTAGGTCCAGAGCCCCTCCTGCATCCTCCATAGGGATTTTCAGCCAGGCCAAGTGAAGCAGGGGGAGGGGAGAGCGTCCAACCTCAGACGAATGCCTTGTGACTACTGGAAAGTCAGATTTTTTAACAGATCACTCATAGGTGATTTCAAAAGAAAGGTTCCAGAGATGATTTGACAGTTCCTATTTAAAAAGCACCAACAGTTCTCGCTTATTAACCTTTAGACACTATTTTAAATGCTTTGTATTTTCTTTTATGTATTAAAAAGATTTTTATTACTTTTCCCCCTATTTTCATACTGTTTTAAATTCTCTTCTGAAAGAAATTGAGTTGGAAAAGGTGTATTACCTAGCAGTCCTGAAGGAATTTTAGCAAAAAAGAAAGTTCTAATTTCACATCAATTAGTATTTGAGGTTTGTTTATTCTGTTTAAAAATCACTCTGGTAAGAGTGATTTTACCCTTTGAGGGGCTATTGATGTTACTGGCGTGTGAATATGGCAGTTGAGAGGTAAACCTGAGGCAGGGAACAGAAGCTTAAGTTGAATTCACAGGTATGGACCGTGTGTGTATACAGGGGTTAGTAATCACTTCCTATACGAATAGCTAAACATTCATTGCTAAGTAATAATTATAAAAACTGTGAGTTTCTAAAACATGTAAATATTCTTCACTACTTTATCATCAGAATTAAAAATTAACTAAAGGATAATATCAACTATTAGGCATTCCAAGGTAAGCCTTTATGAAACTATTAAATATACACTTGTAGAAGCTTTTGTCAAAGACAATCTCATCCATGTTTTCAAATTTAAAAGAAAAGGACTTACTTATTCATTCTGTAACTACATCTGAGAAAGCTGAAAAAGGAATTTTCTAGATCACTCAAATCAAATCACTATGGTAAGACTGAAATAAGAATTTCTAAACCAGGGATTTTCAACTAGTATGCTGCAAGGATTTTTAAAACATGCAAAACCTGACAATTTACTCAGGGGCACTGATCTCTTTTTCCTTAGATGGTCAAATAAAAAAATGACAACAGCCAACACAACAATAGTTGTCTGGTATGGGTAAGTTGAAATTATACTGTATTCTGCCATGTATAAGGCACACCTTTTTGCACAAATTTTTGAGGGAAAAATAAGGATGTGCATTATACATGGGTAGTACTAATTCCATATCTAAATACATGTTTTTAATCCTTTTATTTATGCTTATGTGTTAAAAGTGTAACTCTAGAAAGCAATAATGATATCTGTATGCAAGATAATACTCTGGAATACAATAATCGGTATTGTTTCTAAATATAAATAAATAATTGATTTAAAAATTAAAACAAAAAAATATTTTTCCTGAAAGTTTGGGCCAAAAAATGTGGATGTGCATTATATGTAGCAGTGCATTATACATGGCAAAATATGGTACCAAATTTTTTTTTGCCAGAGCAGTAAAATATATAGATTTTTGGTGTAATTAGCTTATGTGTTGCCATCAGATTTAAAAGGTTGAAAATCACTGATCTACACATTTAAAAAAAAAAAGAAAAAAAAAAGAAAAAGGGGGGTTGCTATACCTTTTTTCCCTAACATTTTCCACAATTTATTCCTAAAAAGTAGAAGAATACATCAGGACATTAGTGGCACATATAAACAAGCTCTTTGGCCGCTGGTGCTCTAACTAGACTTTCTACGACCGAAGAGTGAAGAGCTGGAGCTGTCCTGTCACGCCCGCAGTTTCTTTAAAAATCGCAGGTGAATCTCACTAGTGCCTCACGAGAAGGCTACTAGGTGTGACTCAGCTGTACAAGCAAGAGCTCCATAGTAGATACACTTCCCTTTCCAATTGTACTGCTAGTTCATTTATACAGTTTGCATATAATGAAAATAGTATTTTTCATGAATAAAGAGATTCAATTGCTTTTAAAAGTAATAAACTTACCAATGTTCTCTTCAGATAGTCTTAAAATCTCCTGGAACTGAGGTTTTACCTAAGCAACGAAAAGAAAGGGTTGCTTAATCTTTAGATGTTAGCAAACAATGTAAAATGATCTTGTCTCTTCTATAGTAACATCAAGGGCCAGTTTCACCCTCCTCTTGGCAGGTCAAGCGTATTAATCCACATATTCAAGTTAAACTGAGGTGAGGACCACCACTCAAAGGTTACATCTACAGAATCATACTTAAAGGGCAGTAAGACACCGAAGCAATGTCTTCATTCCATGCACGAAAAGCCTAAGCCCAGATAAATGATTACACGGGTCACAAACGCAACAGGGCCATAACCCAGTCTCTGAGTCTTGTCTCGTCCGCTATACTGAACTGTTTCGCTTTAAATGTCTTGGTTAACATTTGCTTATAGCAACTATGTATTTTTACGTTATTCTTAGGTCTCTTAAAGAACTGGTTTAACAATAGGCCATGGAGACAAATGGATTAATAGGATTAAAGAAGAAATTGGGATCTAAGGACATTCAAGTTATAATACCTGAAACTACGAAATAACCTGGATAGGCAAATGTGACAAATTATACTTTTAGTAGTGACTGAAATATGAAGTATTTATCTCAAATTTCCATGCTATTCTAAGAGCTGGTATCCTCAGAGCAAGTCTATAGAAGCTGCTTTGATTCTGGTCACCTGTGGTTTTGACTAACATGTATTGAGCAAACAATTGCTTCCCAAATTTGTGTGGAAGGTAAGGGGTTTTAGTACCAGACACATATTCAAAGGACTGCAGTTGACTTCCGTAGCTGATACTTTCTATGCTGATACAGTGAGTAGATCTTATATCCAAATCTGGATACAAAGTAAATTTAGGCTAAATCATCCTCTGAAAATCAGATACAAAGAAAAGAATATTACTGACCAGATTTTTCATTGACTATCACAGTTTTCTAAGATATTAAAAGATAATCAGAGTGAAGGAAGGACTCATGCTCTTATTTACGGTTATAGCATTAACACATTACATTTTTATGGATCTTGCATATAAGAAAACATGGAATACAAGTTTTTACCTTAGTGTTTGTAAAAATTTTGCCAAATGTCCGGCAAAGGCGCCAGAAAAATCTGGAGAATTCATGGACACAAGCAGTTGAAGTAACATTAATTTTGCCAACTATTTCTATAAGTTGTGGCAACCTGAATATGAAAGGGAAGAAAAACAAACAGAAGATACATACGAATTACTGTTTCCTTGCCAATTTCTGAAACAATGTAAATCTAACAACATCTACTGTTTTGCTTTTCAAAGACAGTAAAATTGAAAAGCAAAGGAGCTGTCTGAGTCCTTGTGGAAAGATCTTAGGTTTACATTCTACTCTCTAAACATCTTAAAATAAATTTTAGCTGCTTGCCATAAAATATATGGAACTTTAATGGTAAGAATTCTGAGTACAGAGTTAATGAGACTCAAATCAATGAATTTTGAAGCTTCACACAAAAGTTTGGCTAATACAGCATCCATTTTAGCCTCAAAATGAGAAGTCTGGATGTAGTTTAAAATCCACCATCACCATTAATCAACAAGGCAGCAGACAGGTTCTTTTGACATAATACAGAAGCACCATCTTCATAGATAAATCACTACATATCCAGTGATGTAAACCTCCTCTCCTAAGCAAGTTTACCACAGATGATGCCAAGTTAGGTTTTGTTCTATTTTTTATATTTTCTCCTTCAGGGCTAGGCTAAATATAGTGAGCTATCTTCCACCTGACTGACTGAGGTGAACCGAATAATTACAGACGTGGGAACTTACAATTGATTGACAACCCACAGTAAACTCTCCCAGCCTGTTGTACCCTCGTGCTCCAGCTGGTAATCATAAAGTTGTAGTAGCACTGCCAGTTGCTCACGACTTCCAATAATAGTAGACACATCTTGGAGGGGTGACATAGGCCGGGGGAACCTTGTCACTATAAATAATAAAAGTAAAATATGTCATGCACAAAATGGCAGCTTGGAAAGTTAGCTATTGTGTCAAAAGGAAAATAAAGTTCCGCCTCCTGATCTTTATTTATCTTATTATAAACTTTAAATATAACACTGAGATAAAGTAACCAAATTATTCTTAGAAAAAAAAATGAAATAAATTTTTGTTCCACTTAAAAGTCTTAAAAATTAAGATTTATGAGACTAAATAGTTATAAATGAATACTGTAATGAATTAGTTTGCCAATAAAGAGTAAACCTTCATTTAGGTTAGATGAAAATTGGCCCAGAGATAAGACCTTAGCTAAACATGGATTTAAATTTGGTTTAAAAGAATAGATATACTTGTAATTCCACCAGACTGTTTATGTTAATGAAACAGAAAATATGTTAAAATGTTTCTTTTGGGGAGTAATAAATTAGTAGGTTAATAGCAGGCAAAAAATTGTTCAATACCAAAGAATAATGACATAAAATACAATAAAGCTTGAGCTGAACAAAGTATTTAATCTCTAATGCCAAATGCTTTATTTAAAATTTTTTTCATATTTGATAAACATTAAGTTAATATAAAGTACTAAAACCAGTAACCAGTAAGATTAAGACATAATTACCATGATTATTATAACCAAGGCCCTGGCCAGGTGGCTCAGTTGGTTAGAGCATCTCCCAATAGGCCAAGGTTGCAGGTTTGACACCTGCTAAGGGCTCATACAAGAATGAACCAACGAATGTGTAACTAAGTGGAACAACAAACTTATGGCTTTCTCTCTCTTTCTCCCCCTCTCCCTTCTTCTCTCTCTAAAATCAATGTTTTTTAAAAAATATTGTTTTTAGGGTCTCATGTATATACCCTTAAAATTATTTTTTCAGTTATGTAAATAATACTTGACTATATACCAGTATATTCTAAACTTCAGACGTCTGATCTTACAGATCACAATTAGACCCCAGGTGTATTCAGGAAACCCCTCCTGGAAGCTGTGTAGTGAATAACGCAGCCAACAGCTTGCTAACTGTTGGTCCGAAACTCCTCGTGGCTTAGCTACTCCTGCACAGAGACACACACCCTATAAAGGCACAAATAAAGATGCAGCATTTTCTTAAAACATATTAATGATTAATGATAATTAAAAATTTAGAAAGCATGAAATACACTAATTTTTAAAATGCTCAGAGACAATATTAAGATGTTATGGTTTGCCTATGCTGTGCAAGGGTTTACACATTAAGTGTTAAAGGTTATCCCTCGCTGGTTGAAATCTCCCATCTGCTGCCATAACACATAAGCAAAGAATAAATTGGAGTAACATGGTATCCCTCAGGATCTGAGGTTTCTGCTTTCATCCTCACTACCTCAACCAGGAATCAATTAGATTTGGATGATTCCAATCTAATTTTCAGACTATGAGTCACAATCTGCTACACTATGGTAAAATTAATGTTATTCCTCCAAAAATAGTGACAAATCATTGAAAAAGTAATGGTATGGTTAAAAGTAAAATAGGTGTGTCAACACTTACTGTAGGAAGAAAGAAAAAGAGGAAGTGAGAAAGACAGGAAAGTCCCTAAGCAAATGCAGTGGCTCTGTGAGTAAAGGGGCAGAACCTGGAGGAGCCAGCTGTGAGCGCTCAGTGAAGACTTTCTGTACAGCGCGAATGTTCATTCTCCTCCGTAATATCCTCTTAAAACATTTTAGTCTGCCCCATCCATACTCAATTTCCCAAGGAAAACTGACATGCAAACTGTATATACCACTTTTACGCTGTGTTTTGTGTACCACTGGACACACTGCTGCTTCCTGTCCCTAAGAGTACAGGTATCTCAAAGTTTTTTATTTCTTTTTAAATAAAAAAGCTACAATTCTAAACAAATTAAGTGTCTATTAATGTTCTCGAGGTTATAATTCTTTTGTGTATCAGAAGGCAGTAAGAGGCATGGATAATTTCACAAATCTGACAGAGATGCACAGGGATCTCATACCCAGCGATAGCTTGTCACAACCATTTCTCCTGGGGAGAATGGCCGTGGGGTACCAGGTGCTGTGGATCAAAAGTCACTTACTGATGAGCCGGACACTGACATAAGAAAATACTGGCTTTTGCTATCAACTTCACATATTGCTGAAATGAAAAAATTTTCCCATCCTTGGGGAAAAAATGAAAATTTTGCCATATACGCTTATATTCTTTTCAAGGACATAGTAGGAAAGAGTAATGCATTTGTCTTCCCCTAAAGAAGATAAAACAGCTGGGGAAGGAAAAAGATAAAGAAAGTAGAAATGAAAAGCTGCATAAACTGGCACTAGTAAGTATTAAGCAGATCTTTTTATTGATTCATCTCTGTTAATGAAAGAAAACATTTCTGCCACTGGAAAAAGGGCTGCAAAAAGATTATAGGTTAAGAATGCAAAGTATAAAATTGTAAAATAATACCATGAAGCTTATCCATTAAAGATGAAGGCATATAGTTTATGTTAGGTCTACGACCACAAAGTTCTACATATATGTATAATACGTCTTAGACATATTATATTATATTATATTATATTATATTATATATAAAATTATGCTGTCATGTAAAGTGATTTTAAAAATTGTAATAAAAAACGATTCTCTGGGAAAAGCTGCTAATGCTCTACACCTTTCCTTCCCAACTGCAGTTCAGTACCTTCTATCTGTGGCACTTCGCCCTGCAGCTTGGCTTTGCTGGCGAAAGGTGCATCCTGCAGCACTAACGCAAAGAGAGATGGGATCAAAGACTGCAAGGCAGAGAGATACATGTGGAGCTTGTGTTCATCCAGCCCGTGTTCTCCTTCCTGAAACACAAGGAGGTGGAAGCTCATTTTAGTCTTTTGAAATCATGTATTTATAATGCTCTTCCTTCCTGTGGCAAATAATAAAGCATTGAAGGACCTAATGGAGATGTCCGGGAATCTTAATTTCTGTAAGCATGTGACAATGTGAATTAGTAAGGTAATGCAGAAGTAATAGAATGGAAAACGTTAGGGTGAACATCTATCATTTCCATTGATACGGAATTTCTTTTACAGTTTTTTCCTTTTAAGAGAGCCATTGATTGATTGATTAGTTGGTTGGTTGGTTGATTGAAACTTTTTAAGTCGGGATAAAGAAATTAAAATGAGCCACAGGAATCATTTTAAATGCTCGGCGGCCAAACCAGTGGCAGTGTTTGCTACTTTCTGTCCCTTGCTTCCTGCATAGAGTTGGTGACATCTCTCGTTGATGGCATGAAAGCACTATAAAATAACTGAATGCAGAGATAAAATGGAGAAGAATAAATTGCAAAGGGAAACAAAAGAGGTAACAGAAAGAAAAAAAAGAATAAGGAGGTGCGGTATAAAACATTAACTAAATAAATGTTAAAGTAAAATTAGAATTATTAGAGATGAAAGCACTTACTGCTGTTCAAATCCATTGAGATGTCATTACTATATTATAAAATAACACCTCTGTCAGATAGGGAGTAATTTACTACCAAGTTCCGAATTAATTTCTTCATTGAAGAACTACTGTCTATGAAAAATACTGTAGATATGTTTAGTAGCACTGTGGAGTTAGCCCTGTTATGAAATGGAACAAGAAAACCCAGGTATGGATAACTCTTAGAAGGAATGCAAACTATTTTTTATAAAGTACTTAAAAAAATTTCCTAGGTTTCATAAAAAGAAATACTTTAGTTGTCCATTTACAGTTTTGTTTGAATACTCATTCAGAAATTCATAGAAATAAACAGTTGCATTTTAATACATGTATATATCCATCTACAGAGCAGTTACAATGCTTTATTTAAGACCTTGATGGATTCTTTCAAATTTTGGTGTAGAAAGGGCAAGAGTTTGAAGTCAGAGACTGATTCAGATTCTGGCTCCATCATGCGACAGCTATGGAACCCCCAGACACTTAAACACTAGTTTCCACATGAAATAATACACTGTATATCTAAAGTACCTACCTTAATAGCCTATAAAAGGCATTAATGAAATGTCAGTTTTTTTCTAGACTCTAAAATAAACTTTTAGCACAAAATTAGATGAAGAAGTTTTGACTGTTTCTTCAACTTTTCCATTTTTTTTAATGTGGAAAGATGGAAGTTCATTTTAAAAAGTGAGGAAATGTAAATAAGGATGCTTCTGAGACTCGTATTTTAGTTATCTCTGCATTTTGGGATCAGAGTTGATACTTCATCTAAAACATTTAAGTCTTCAGAAAAGGATAGGAGAACTGGCTTTCTGAATAATGTACGAATACTAGTTCCACAGAGGTGCTACTTCAGCCAGCAAACTCAGATCATGACCTTTCTCCTCCATCTTCAGCAATACAGAACTTCCTCAAATTTCTCTTGGCTCCAGCCCAACAGAATCTTTTTTGGTAATTTACTAGAATGCTCAGCTAAGAGGTACTTTCTGTCTTTGCTACCCAATATTCTGTTAAGATGCCCTGGAATACACCTTTTAAATTTCTATAAGCCGTATCAACAATGGAAGCATTTACCCTGAGAAGTTTTTCAATCTTGTTCAGCAGTGTGGGTATAAGATGAGACTGTAAATTTCCAAGTTCTGTAGTCCAGGCAGCATAAGCTGGTAAAAATACTTGATGTGTTGCACTAACTACTCTTTCTGAGGGATCACCCAAAGCTGACAGCAGCAATTCAAAACCCTGCCAAAACAGCAACAGCAGCAGAAAACAAAAAAAACAGGCAAAATGTAAATTTCTTATAGAATAAACTTTGAAACACAATAAAAAACAATAAATACAGAATTGCAGTACCTTCAGAAAACAATTTAAGAAAGAAAGCCATCCATAATCCTACACGCCCCATTTTCTTTAAAGACAGAAAAAAAATCATGTATAAATTGATGAGGAAACAAAGGAGAAAGGATGGTAAACAGGCAGGCTGCTGGCCAGTTTCCTGCATAAATGAATCATAGCATTCTTTCTTTGAATTGCAGAACTGAAACCAGGCAGCCAACTCTGACTGGTCAAAGTTGGCACGACCATCGTCCCTACTAGCGAGTGTAGGCTATCTGAATCAGATTTGGAATATTATCTGGAATTTTAACATGAAGTAAATGGGGCTCATTCTGAAAAACACACCTGTTGATATTTGTCTGGATCATCAATGTATCCCATAATGATACCGAGGCTCTTGATCACAGCTTCTCGTACTAAATCTGCCTTATCTTCCATTAACATCTGTTGTAACATTGAAAGAACCAAGGAGCTACGGATTTCTTTCTGAAAATAAATGAGAAAAGGTTTTTGCTATTTATTTACACCACCAGCAGAAAAGATACAGAAAATGTGACAGACATCCACATATTCAAAATGCAGTTTAAATATACATTAACATTTTCCTGTATTTGCTTCAAGTCCTCATTTTTCAAAGGCAGACCATTACAAGTGCAGCTAAAGTATCACTCTCTTCTACCCTCTCCCATGTGCTTCTAGCCTCCCTCTCTAAGGGGAATCACCTCACTCCTTAGGTTGGTATTAGTCACTTCCCAGCATGTTCTCTGTCTTTGCTAAATATGTGGAAACTCTCACAGTGCACAGCAGCAGGCCCTTTTGGCAAATCACCAGAGCCGACACTCTGCCTGCTTGAAATGGACAATGACCCTTCTGTCACCGCCTGTTTACTCAAAGAGTGCTCAGGCACAGCAGAGGGGGTTACAAAGAACGCTCTGGCAATCAAAGCATTTGCCTAAGTAAGAGTGTGGAAACATGATAAAATCCTGTTTCTCTTTTTTTGAAGAACTGAAAAAAAATTTCAATGAGGATGGTAAAACATGAGAGTAAACCTGAAAGGCGCTTTAACAAGAATTGCATTGGTGTTTTCAGATTTTTAGTCTGAAAATTTTTCTACTATTTAATATAATGTCAACCACTGTTGTATCTTAAGTTCACACAATTTCTTCCACAGTTAAAGAATGTTAATGGTTTAGCCTACCTGATGTCTGGTTAGAATAAAGAGTTATCACTTTACAAAGTCTTGCCCTTTTCCTTCTTTGTGCTATTATTGTAACTTGATTAATTTATAACAATTCTTTAAACCAAAACTTGTTTAGGTCCTTTTTACATACAATGGTTCGAATACAATAAAAATAAAAATAGAAGATGCGACCATTTCCATAAATTTACAGTGACTTGGTGTGCAGTGGCCTGACATTTTTAAACGACCTAGTTTTTGTTTTGTCTTTTTAGAAACAAAAATATGTGTAGCTTTAGCAAATTTTAGTCACATTTAGGTCAGTGAATATGTTTTCAGGACCGGCCTTGTGTATTTATCCTTTAGACTAAAAACTGCCCCCTCCTCGCAAATGCTTTAAAGTATTTTAAACTCTAAGATACTTTAAATTAGTTTAAATATTGATTTAAAAATTTGTGTCTTACTGGGTATCAGCATGGGCAGTGGAACAGAGGTATGTAAACTTCAGCTGGGTATGCGCTTCGCTTTGATCTGGGCTGAAGCCAACTGTAGCAGCTAGTTTCAGTATGCCACAAGGGACCCACAGGACAACTTGGGAGGTATTACTCCATTTAAGCCAGGACCACGCCAAGAGTGTACTATTATGAGTTACAGTGGGGTACAAGGCAAGCAGAGATCCGAGGAGGAAACACTAAGTCTATTATTACTACTGCTTAGCATTCTAGTACTAGAAGCAGTGTCAAATAGCTTACTTATCCTTTGTGAGCATGTGATGTGCATCTCCATCTTGGAATAATAAATAACAAGATGTTCAAACTCACTCATGTATATCTAATATATAGGATTTATCCTAAAAACAATATACCAGTTTTTCCTTATAAGGTAGAAAAAACATCAAAAATTTTTTATCGTGTCCAGTTTCTGGTGAAGGCGGGAAAATAAGAACTCCAAGGTACTGTTGATAAAAGTATAAATTTATACTGTCTTGGTCGGGGGTAGTTTAACACTATCAAAATCAAAAATGTAAATACTGAAAGAAGCAAGGTGCAGAGGTATTAACAGTATGATAAATTTTAAAATATACAGATAAGTAAACAAGACTCTGTAACTAGAGTTTACTGTTGGAGATACAGAACACTGTATATCATATAATTAATTATGGGAAAGACAATTTAAAAGAACATAAAGAGCAAACTGGTAAGAACAGAAACTTTTACTTTCTGTAAGTAAGTATTAAAAACCACTGGCTCCAGGTGGGGATCTTGGAGCAGACGACTAGGCGCCCGAGGGGTGCATGTGGGCATCGCCGCCCTGATTACTGCTAGTGCACTGACACTGGGTCCCAACACAACTGTTGCACCAACAGTGTGAACGTCAACATAGAGAAAAAGACAAAAATCGTTTGAATATTATTATGAAAATAATTTTCACTTGATGAACTTCTTTTAAAGAATATAATGGGACCCCTCAGGGTCCTCAGACCACACTGTGAGAACTGCTGATACAATTTGATATACTTACACTCATGAGAAATCAACGGTTCATGTCTGCAATGCCATATTGTATCAATGTGACCTTTTCTTTTTGGCTCATCTTTTTCTTTTGTTACGACAGCAGGCCACAGGGCGATTTGGGTTAAAAGGTATAAGATACTTAAAAAAAGGTTTCTCTATTATTAAAAAGGAAAACAATGTTTTTAAGAAAAAAATGACAATTCTTACAGGAAGGTAAGGTGCCAAGGCTCCACAGGATTCGGCCACGAGTAGTCGTCTTTCTGGGTATTTGTGATTAATCTAGAGTAAAAAGTAAATCAAGCATAAACAATATACTCTCCTTCCTCCGACACATCCTTATTTTGCACCACAAATCCAGTTAAGAATGCAGTAAAGCTTCTTTCTTTTCCACTTCTGGGAATCCCTGTGTATACCTGGATCAGGAATAAGGAAATCAGGGAAAGCCTACAACAGGAGCTCACAGGGGTTATCTGTTAAGAAAAAAGGATAAAGCAAAGATGAAAATTTGGCAAGGTGTCTATTGCGGGCTTGCCTATGACCAGGCTTTGCTTAGAATGTTGGGGACAACTTTCCCCTTCTGTAGAAACATTAGTACTTTTTAATATTTAGAAAACCCTGGTTCTGAATATTATAGATATGGTTTATAATATATAACAGGAATGATTCATCAGTACTCTTTTTTTACCTAAGGCATTAGGACTGAGTTAATGAATGATTTAACCAGAGCCCCTGGCTTGTGATAAGATTTTGTTTTTAAAGCAAGCAGACTTCAATCCATTTGTGTGTGCATATGCACAATGAAGGAGCTCTTCTATTGTGATGACTACACTGAACCATAACAAAAAAAAAAAGAACAAAAAAAATATGACACATACTGGGTTTTGTTCCCGTATGCCTTCTTCATAGAATATAAATCTTTCTTTGACTGGAAAAGAAGTATATCTGTTCTCATATTCCCACATGAAAAGGTGACATAATTCATTAAAGTATTGGATGCCTAAAATTAAGAAAAGAAATTATATAGCAATCTATTGGGCAACAAACTGAAGGTAGGTAGCTAGACAGAGCCCCGATACCATGTTTATTCATGTTACAGAAGAGGCGTTGGTAGAGATATTCATAACTGACATCTTTGAATTAAATTCAGAAATAGTAACCTCAAAGTAGAATGAAGTATGCTCTACATAAACTTTTATTTTGCTTTTCTTTAGTCTAGCTTAGTGAGTCCCAAAATTAAATGTACATACAAAAATCAAATGTATTTGTTTATTAGCAACAAACAAACAAAATAAAAATTTTAAAATTCTATTTAGTGTAATAACAAAAAGAAAATGCTTAGGAATAAATTAAACAAAAATGTACATAAATTATATTCTGGAAACTATAAAAATATTGTTGAAAAATTTAAAAGACCTAAATAAATGGAAAGACATCGTGAATTCATGAATTGGAAGGCTCATTATGGTTAGGATGGCAGCACTCTCCAAACTGATCTACAGATTGAATGCGACCCTCATGAAAATCCCAGCTGGCTTCTTTGCAAAACCTGACAAGCTGATCCTAAAACTCATATGAAAATTAAAGGGACCCAGAATAGCCAAAACAATCTTGAACTATGAGAACCGAGTTTGAGGGGTTGGGGTTTTTATTTGGGGTAGATTGACTGTGATGGTAGATGTGAAACTGTGAATATACTAGAAATCACTGAACTGTTTATGTCAAGTGGGTGAATTATACAGTATATGAATTGTACTGCAATAAAGCTTAAAAAGAAAATATAAAATAATTATTAAAAAAATTCAGTACATATGAATAATTGTACAGAACTGTATGTGTTGTTTCCAAGTTAATCTGACTTTCAGTGATTAAGGTCTTGCCCTAAGTTTGTATGTACCATAATCTATAGATAACATGAAAAATTGTCAGAAAGAATTATGACAACATATAATGTTCACTTTACATACTGAATCCAGATATGAATCCACTAAATTTGAAAGAAAAAAATACTCAAGGATATTGGAGTAGAATTCTAAGATCATATACTTTAATGATATTCAATAGACAAATATTTTTTTTAAGAATGACACTACTACTATAAATGAGGCCATGAAATTTATCTTCATAAGTAAGAGATCCATCTTTTTAGGATGAAAAAATAAACTCCTCCATGACCCAAGTCTAGGAAGTCAAGATTCTCAGTTGTACAGAGAACTGAAATATTAAAATTCAATACAAAACCAAAAGTATTATTCATAAATAGTGAGTTGAAATATAAGTCCAAGAACCTCCCATGTCAAAAGTTTAAACTTTATATTCTCTATTTTAATATATAAAAGTATACAAGATTGTTTCTATTACACCCCCCCCCTCCCCGCCGCCCCGCTCTCCCTTGAACTCACCAGGTCCTCTCCCAGGTCATCTTGCGGCTTTTGTATTTGCAGGACCTCACTTCGTTCAGATCCTTGCCTAAACTTCCCTCCCTCAGAGACTCCCTTCCGGACCACCCTTTCTGAAACCGCATCTGCCGTCACTCCCCCCAGCCCTTATCCTGCTTTCTTTTTTTTCTAGCTTGTAACACTACAAAACGTCATGTCATTGATTTGTTTACTCTTATCTCCCCACCACGATGCCTCTGTGTTTTATTCCCCACTGTATCCCCAGTGCCTGGCATGAGAACTAGTGTTTCTTAAGTATTTGTTGGCAGAAGGAGTAATGTTAAGCATCCCAGAGCATTCTTAAACACTAATAAATCACAGTGCTGGGCTATACAAACAACAGCAAAATTCATATCCCATATATTTCCTAATGGCATTTAAACCAGATGTGAACATTTGTGATAAACCAGAATAGAATAGCGAGGGAAAAACCCAATAGTTATTTACCTGTTCCCAACACTGTGGTAAAAGTTCAGCTTCTACACGCGTTGGTCCAACATGACGTGCAAATGCCACGCAACCTGTCAGTATCATTTGCCTGAAAACAACACAAAAGCATAAAGACTTGTATTTGCTTTAGAAAGCACAGCTAGGGCAAAGGGTTAAAAAGAGTCAGCTCTGTAATTCACATGAAGTACAGCATTTTTGTACAAGCAAAACATTTCCAACAGTGGACTAGACTCCACCAAGAGAGTTCCTTCCGACGAGTTCTTCCAGCAGTGGCAGCCCCGTTTGTGAGATGTGTTTGAAGGGATTCTCTACTGCTATGATGCTGAAACCCATAACCCCCTAAATCAACTTCCCATATGTCTTCTGAGAGTGTATGTCCAATGCTTCAGCTCCTACTGAACTTCCGTTTGTAACCACTAAAACTATCAGCGACGATGACCCCGGTGTTTCCATAACTAAAAACAATGGTGTCGTATTAGTAAAATGGTATTTCTTAAATCAGAATTTTTGGTATTGCACTCAAGATAACTGGTAGGCAGCTTCTGACATGGCTTCCAGTGAAGTCCATCTCCCAACATCCACATCCTTGTGTAATCTCATCTCCTTGAGAGTAGACTGTACCACAGGATTTGCTTTTCGTGGACAGAAATATGGCCAAAGTGATGGACATCACTTCTGAGACTGGGTTACACAAGTGAGACGTCCATCTTGTGGGACTCTCTCTAGAGCCTTCATAGATCGCATGCTTTGATACAGTGTGATGCCATTTGGAGGCCTATGTGGCAAGGCATTGAAGGCAGCCTCTGCCCAAAAGGCAGAGAGGAACTGAGGCCCTCCGTCCAAGCCCCCGAGAAACTGAATCCTGCCAACGACCAGTCACGTGCGTGAGCTTAGAAGCAAATCGTTCCCCAGCCGGGACTCGAGATGACGACAGCCCCAGCCAACACCTCGATCACAGCCTTGTAAGAGACCCTGCCGCAGAGGACCTGAATTAACTGACCGGCGTAAGTGGTACCATAAAAATGAGTTTATCATAAACCATTTTCTTTTGGAGTAATTTTTTACAGAATATATAAACAACTAACACAATAACTTCACTTGAGCTTGAATATAAAATTTTAAATAAGATTTTTTTATTCAGAATGAAGTTCTATTTAAAATGACTTTAAGTTAAAACCTGTGAGTTTTTTTCCACTTTTGATTGTCCAAGACTTCAAAACAGTAAAACCTGATGGGGGAGGGGGGGAGTATGTTCAACAGATGTTTTAAGTGTCCAAGTTTGAGGAAAACCAACATACAATGTTTAATTCTTATCAACTATAAAATCAGCACATTGAGCCCACGTATTGCTCACTGCAGTTTCTCAAAATATGTCAATGTAACTCACACTGCAGGATGACTTTAAATTTCTATTGGGTTTAGCCCAGCTAGCGACAACTCTCAGATGGAGGAGAGCAATGACAAAGCACCTGGACAACAGCGGGAGGAGCGTTGGGCCAGCATGTCTTCACTGTGTGTTGCAGCTTCTTCTCACCACAACCTCATAATGACCTGATTCCCTTTACATTTATATCATTCTCTTCTATGCCTATTTCTCAACTTTCCTTTGCTTTTTTATTTCCTTTTATTTTAGGAGGGCAAATAAATAAAAGGAAGTAGAAAAAGAAAATTCCCAAGCTTTACATACTGCTTCCCCAATGAAAATTTCCTAATACCTGATCGTTTTTTCCCCACCAGTGTCTTAAAATAATAAGAACGTGTACACAGAGGTTCCATAAATGTTTGGTAATTATAATAAATAAAACTTGGAGACATTTAAGCATTTCAGCCCTGGCTGGTGTGGCTCAGTGGATTGAGTGCTGGCCTGTGAACCAAAGGGTTGCTGGTTGGATTCCCAGCACATGCCTGGGTTGCTTGGTGGGGGGCGCACGAGAGGGAACCACACATTGATGTTTCTCTCCCTCTCTTTCTCCCCCCTTTCTCCTCTCTCTAAAAATAAATAAAATCTTTTAAAAAAAGTTAAGCATTTCAAACACTTGTAAGAAGTACACACTATATAAAACCTTCATGTGAAATGACTTTAAATCATGTTACCACCACTATACTAGAGATATACAAACTTGCTGAAATAACGTAAGGCCCCTCAAAACAAACTTCTTAGTGCAGTTAAGATGCAAAATTATAAAAATTATGACAGCTTGGAAATACAGTTGAAAATAGAAAAAGTCAGATGGTTTACAGATTATTAACGGCATTAGAAACAGGCCCCTGTAATGGGAAAAATAAAGTGTTCCTATTTGTGGAAATCACAGGACGGAGATTGTTTGCCTAGTGTCTGACAAAGCTAAAAATGTGTGGTCAATTATGGTTGTTAGCAAAGAACTGGCTATAAGCACCCTAACTGGGCATAAAATTAAGTTTTTCTCAGGATCTGAACAAAGAAGCCTGAGATTCATTAAGTAAGGAAAAGTAACAACTGATTATATGCCAGACATATTATGCTAACTTAAAAATTTTGCTTTTTAAATTTCTTCTCCATATTATACATAGTCAATCAATTGATGAGACTATTGTAATGAATAACACTGTTTCTGTAAAGATTGAAGCGCGGGCACGAGTGCTTAACGCCTGACGGATTTCCACCGAGGTGCTTTGTCCACCAGGGGGCAGCTATGAGCTGCACACGGAGAGGATGAAAACAGGACTACAGGTCAAGGGTTTGGCCCTTGCAAATCGAAAAAAATGACAATGTAATAAATGATTTTTAACTATTAAGTTACCAAGATATGGAATAATATTTTTCAAGGAGGAAATACAATATTAATTCTCCTATTAATTCAGCACCATCAAATTATCCTTCGAACATTTTCAGTTTGCAATGAATGATACTAATACAGTGATTTAGTTTTCCTTACTTCTATCCAACTAGCATGTGAGGGAATGCTGGTATAGATTGATCCTGACTGGGTCCTGCAAAGAACACGTTTCTCTACTTGCTCAGATATACTTTCAAAAGAGCAGGAAAGAGAGATATATATATATATACTTACAGAGTTCTAAAGCCTACATAGCTATTTCATCCTGTTTTAGTTACGACTATTTTAGTGAGAGATTCCTTGTATTTTAAATTTTAAGCTTGATTTGTTTTATGCTTCATGCTTATAATCTTCCAACATTGTCAGAGAAGGTAAAAACAAGTATTGAAATTATATAAATGTATCTAATCATAAAATATAATTCCATTGTTTTGCCAAAGTATAAGCAAAAATCCTTTTTGAATTAAGATAGAAAATTGTAACAGAAAAATACTTCAGTTGTCAAATTTTATCCAACTGGTGCTTAGTCTACCTACCCAGCCACCAGGATGTTTTGTTCACATCCACACCTGCACAGCTTCACTGAGTATTTAAAGGTTTTACTCCCTGAGATAGGCATCTACCATTGTTACTTGATCAAATCCCATTCCCCTTGCTTCTGGAAAGTCACCTTGATGTGTGAGTCTTCCTCTCACTACACTCAGGTATAACTTATTTCTCCACTCAGGCATCCCTGGTTGTGGGTATTTGTCTCACGACTAACAAAACAAATGACAAACAAACAAACAAACAAAGGCACTGTATCCCTTTTACCACACAGTAAGTGGTTTACAGAGAGCCCAGTGATACAAAAATTCATATAGTAAATATTTTATTTCTTGTCAAGAATAACTATTAAGAGGCCACAGGGTAGACATTTAGGCCTTCTTAAAAACCAAATGTGAAAGATAAAGGCAAAGAAATATTTGAATTAGAAGTCCTAAAGTAAGTAACACAAAAATGCACACTTTAATGTGGGTAATTGGAGTAACAAGAATAAAAGCATTGCAGAGCACTGTGAACAGGGCCAGTGTTTCCTGTTTATTAAAACAGGTACTGGAAAGAAAGCATTTAGATTAAAAGGCTAAATTTGATGTCAAATGAGTAAAATTAACTTTACTTATTTTCCAAAGAAGTAGATATACTGACCTTTGCTCATCATCTGGCCTCTTGATCAAATTGAAAAGTATGTGGAGTAGCTGATCTCTCTCTTTAGGCTCAGGATGCAGGCAGGCTGTACACAGGATGAGGGGGATCAGCTCCTAAAGAAAGGGGAGGGGCAAAAAGGTCAAAGTAAAAATGCGTTGCAGAGATGTTTGGTCTTGTCCCCAGACTATGCTTAAATGGACACTTAAAAGTAAAATAAGCCTCAGTCTACAAAAGAGCAAATTTTAATTTCGTAAGGTTGATACTCAACAGAAAACAATGAAACATATCATTTGTATATTTATGTGTGGGTTATGCAGAAGATGCAAATCACAATGTAAGAAAGTTCTTTAAGAGTCTACTAACCTTGTTTTCTTAGTACCTTTCCCAAGGGTCTACTATTTTTTATGCTAGATAATATTCCATCTTACTACTGTACAATCTAATTTTAAATTTAAAAGTGTTTCTAAACAAAACCTGCAAAAGTTAACTATGTTCTAAAATAATTTAAAAAGATAACAGAGCCCTGGCTGGTGTGGCTCAGCGGAATGAGTGCCAGCCTGTGAACCACAGGGTTGTTGGTTGCAGGCCAGCCTCCAGTAAGGGGCACTCGAGAGGCAACCACCCATTGATGTTTTTCTCCTCTTTCTCCCTCCTTTCCCCTCTCTCTAAAAATAAATAAAATTTTTATTAAAAAAAGAAAACAAAATAAAGACAATTCTTCCCATGTCACAAGTATAATATAATCTGTTTTCATTAAGGTTAGACACAAATCATAATTTTGTATCTTTAGCACCTAACTGGTGGCTAATTGGAAAAAAAAAGAAGAGCATTTCCACAGCTGTTGAGTAGAAATGTTTTATGTTAAAGTGAAAATTTTAAACACTATTTTGTTTGTGCACATTCAACATGCAGAGGTAAGTTCATTATTTTGTAGGAAAGTAATACACAAAAGTTTATTTTTTTTCTAAAGAACTATTTTAAAACTAAAGTTGTTTCATATTTTAATTAAAATAAGACTAAATTCTAAAATATATTCAAAAGATATTAATGTTTCTCATTTTGGAATGAATTTTCAAATCTAATGAGAATAAAGGCCCAAAAGTGATAAAGTATTTTTGGAGAGAAATCCTTTAAGTTATAAAAACAGTATTTTGCAGACTAAAAAGAAAAATCACTATGATGCAGTAAGAAGGGCACAATGATTACTAGTCCCATTTCTTTTTCCCATCTACCTCCCTATCCAAGAAAGTGTCAGCAGATTTAAAGAGGGAATTGGTCACTATGTAAAAATGCTTGATACCCTGAAGGAAAGCCCATACTTTAGAAGGAGTATCTTCCTATTTTGGAGATGCTCCTTTAGAAAGAGATGATATGATTTTTTTGAGTTTAGGCTGAAGCTTAAAGGCACAATGAGTAGCCCCTTTCCATTACTTCTAAATTCTTTTTATATATTTTAAAATTATAATTATCTGATATAAACCTTAAATTGAAGGTACAAAGATATAGATAAGAAGAGCTAAGAGTAAATTTTTTTACTCAGGCCCTTCCATATGTTTTAGATCAGTAACTGAAAATCAAAATAAATAAATAATTAGGAAAAATAATTTTCCACTGGGAATAGAAAAGAGTATATGTATCCTATATCATTAGGTAGTATCTTCACCAGAGGCTTAATATGATTGATTCTTGATGGATTACTCTTGACTTTCCAGGAGAAAATAAACAACCTTTTATAAAACATTAGGGTAGGAGACCATATTCTAAGAACTATCCTAATCCTAGAGGATCCCATTTTGGCGGCTCAGAGTCAACAATACTGAGAGGACTGAGACATTGCACCCATCTCAGCACGTCTCACTGATAGCAGAACCTTAACGATGGAAAAGTAGTTATTCTAGAAGGCACTCACAAGAGGATAAGATATTTTAATGCCTAAAAATAAAGCAAGGCCCTTAATAATTATATTTGTATTTCCTCTCATGCCAGATCTTTCTCTCCTGAGAGTTTTCTTGCTTCCTAACCCTTCTTCCTCCTTTCCTATTATCTCTACATACAGGGTGGGGCAAAAGTAAGTTTATAGTTATCACTATGTGAAACACAGTTTATTCTTGTTTATTATTTATTATTATATTATTTTTCATACAAACTGTAAACCTACTTTTTCCCCAGCTTGTATATATTCTTACATTATTTTACTCCATTTTCTTCCTATTGCATTTTTTAGTTATGAAATGTAGATATTTACTATAATTGCAAATGCATACACACAGTTTAAAATATGTAGTATAATATTTAGCTTCTACTCAAAAACAAGCATATCAAAATAACTGTGTTGCTGTTCATTCTTTGTGATGTATATTTTCTTTTCATTTTTTGTTTTTTTTTTTTAATCGTTAGGCTTAGTGATCCTTACAGAGGAAGTTTGTCATATGTGAATATAGAGAATCTTAAAACTGAAATATGGCTACAGATATACAATCTCTTTTCAGTTTCACATGAAATAAAACAGTAACTTCTAATGATATTAAATAAATCATTTTAGAGATAGTAAGTGTTATTAGATTTGATTTTATGAATATTTTTACTCAACTTTCTTAGTCTTATCAAGATTAGTGTGTGTTCGGACTACAAAAACAAGAGGAAAAAAGCACCATAAAAGATCTAAAACAATGCAATTATATGTTAAGGAGGGAGAGATAAAGTAGGAAATGAGATCAAGCGAATTTTAACATTAAAAAAAGCAAGGAGATGTTGATAAGATAATGACTCCAAGATCTGAAAGGATCTAAAACAGGAAACAGTACATTTAGCTCAAATGCCAAGGGGAAATGTTTTGAGTATTTCAGGTCAAGGGGCAAAATCCTACAGTTCTGGAAAGGTAACACATTAATCCAATAAATCCATTGATTGCCCTTGCTGTTCCACTAAAGTTATTTCCTATATCTCAAGCTTTGGTGAAAAATTTTAGACAGCTGTCATTTAAAATTTTTTCATCTAGACTTTTGCCTAGGAATTAAGCAATAATTAGTTACTATTTAAAATCAAGTACTGACACCCTGTGATTTAGATTTTCAGCTGAAACTTGTCAGGATGTTGACAGTAACACGTAATGAAAAAACAACATTGAAAGGACTCACATAAGAAGAAACAAGATTACTCACCTCTGGAAAAGTTCTACACTTCAAAGGCTGTTAAAATATCTATTCTTAGAATTATTAATATCTATAATTCCTGAGGCTCAACTTTTAGGAGGCCTAATTGAAATATCTAGATGACTTTTAAAAGCTGATACTGCGAAAGAGCATGTGATTTATTTTCAAAATTCTCTCTCTCTCTCGCTTTCTCTCTCTCTCTCACACACACACACGCACACGCACACACGCACACAACAGGTAAGTGATGGACTTATCTGGGGCTATTATTACTTTTAAGTTAAACATTTACCATGGGGCAAATATGACTGACAATGTAAAAGAGCAAAGTTTAGTTTCCCAAAAGATGAGCAGGTCTTCAGAGGTACTAACTACTTTTCAAACTTTCAGAGAACTGGTTCTCTCCTTTCCTTTTGGTTTTCACAGCTTTAATGAGTGAGATATATCTGGATTATATATCATAAAATTCATCCATTGCACGTATACATTCAGTAATTTGTAGTACATTCAGACCTGGATGACCATCACTAATCTAACTTTGAAACATTTTCCGCACCCCAAAAGGAAAGCTTGGACTCATTCACCACTTCCTCTAGCTCCACCCCCGTCAAGGCACAGGTGTCCTCCATTACTTTCCCAACTGGGCCAGCTGATGGCGTATATTTTCTTGGCATAGAATGAAAATGAGTTGAATTTAGAAATATCACTATAAAAATACTTTTACAAGTAATCCTTTATAAAATATTTCATTAAATTACAGAATTTCCCCTACAAACACATTTATAGCAGAGACTGTAAAAAAAAAAAATCAACTGATTTAGCCTATTTACTATATACATAGATCAAATGACAAATATGTTTATTCTTTGATTTTTTTGAAAGATTCAAGTTCCTCAATCACCCCAGAAAAATGAAGTACTATATAAGCTACATACAGAAAACTAGTTCATCATATTTTTTTTCTTCCAAAATGAATAGGTAAGAAAGTCTTTTTAAATACAAGCTGGTAAAAAGTGATTATAATTACTTCAAAGGACATAAAAGGAATTTTTTTTCACTTTTTATCATCTCTGAAATTGGTACCTTGAAATAGAGAGAATGCCATAATTTATTTGAAATTCTTTTTCTTTCTTAAAGGTACAGCAATGTTATAATCAATGGCATCTTAGATTTGTAATATGGTATGCTGGATTTAGAAAATGCTATCATTGTGACCTATTTAAGTGAGATTGTTAGTTTTCTTTTAAAAAACAAAAACCAGTAACACTAATATCTATATATTCACTGCGCTTTTCACTTTTATAAAAAATAAAATGTTTAACTTATTAGTTTTAATTAACTACATTATTCCCTTTAAAACAGTGGGTCACAAACTCAATTGAATGGGTCATTAAAAGCATTTTTATTTCTTACTTAGGTATATTCATTATTGTTCAAAAATATTTATAAACTCTTTGATACTAGCTTTTAACTTTTGTAATTAGTGAAAATAACTTAATTTGCAAAGCTTTATATTAATTACATATGTAATTATACGCTAGCACATGATGTAAAATGTCTTTCATAATGAGAGTATATATGGTCAATAAAGTTTGAAAAACACTAATTTAAAACATGCTAAAAGACTAGTAAAAGTCTGGCTGTTATGCAACCCTAAGAATGATATAGATATCAATATCTATATATTGATATAGAAGGATACAAAAACATACTGTTAAATGGAAAAGTGCAAAGTGGAGAAATTGGACATAGCATGGTATTATGTATGTAAAGCCACGGAAAAAAGATCATATATTTGAGTCTGTTTACATATACACAAAATATCTCCGAAAAATACAATACAATTCTACCTGCAGACTTCAATACTCCATTTTCAATAACGGATAGAACATGTACAGAAGATAAGTAATGAGTAGGGAACTGAACACCCTAGAATTAGTAGACGTGTATATACAGAACAC